GTGTGTGTGTGTGTGTGTGTGTGTGTGTGTGTGTGTGTGTGTGTGTGTGTGGAGGTGTGAGAAGGTCACATCATGTGTGAGGCCTTTTCATGTCCGTGTGTTTATGAGCGGCGCTGAGCCCAGGCGTGCCGTCATTGTGCCGCTCAGCTCCTTGAAGCTCAGACCGACTTCATCGGACCGCCGTCGCCATGAGCGGTGAGTAACGACGGCTGAACTCTGGAGGCGTCTTCTGTCTCTGCGAAACCTTGATGTTCACATTTAATCCCAGTTTTATGAGGAAAGTGTTGGGATTGTCAGGGCTCTTATTTTGAAAAAGTTTAAGTTGCTCTACTGTGGTGTTAAAACCAGAACATGCTGCTGACAAGGCTGGACGTAGGCAGCAGCTGGAGACGGGATCTGTGTGTCCCACTGTGGTTTAACATGGAGGTCTGAAGTGGTTTCCAGTTGAGGTGTGAAATATGTTGCTGTGAGTCCAGGACGGATGACTGCATGGTGTTGGTCATCAGAGTCTGCTTCGTTGTTTCTGGATGTAAAGGTGGAACATTTCTGTCACCTTTTGCCTGATAGTAGATTAAAAACGCCTCCTCCTGGTTGATGATGCTCTACATTAGTATTCTCGTTTAGTTCTTTGCTGAAAGTTTCTGCGTCAGACTTGGTGATATGAATAAATGTTCTATCTTTGCTTTGGAAGGACGCTTTAGACGACTTTAAACCCTTTTTATTTTTGCTCCTGACACATCTTTACTCACCGTGGGCTCATTTTTCACAGCAACATAAAGTCTTAGACCTCTGTGGAAACGTCACCGCCGAAGCACAGAGAGCTGTGAAGCTTCTTTTATGCAGTGCAGCAAATTAATAATGGTGTTAATCATAAAACAAGAAAAGTTGCATTTCTTTGATTATTTCTTTTGCAAACATTCCAAAAACATGGAATCAACGTGAACAAGCTTTTTCCGAATGACCACAAGTGTTATAAATAGCAGAAAGACAAGAGTGAGTCTCCATGTTATAGATATTTTAACTCCTCGTCTCCATCAGCTCAGTGTGAACACATCCTGCAGTTCAGCCAACAAGTCCCAGAGTTTTAGTCACATCACTGTTGGTCACAGCTGAGCCGCTAAAGGCTTCACGGTTACGTCGACAAGCGCAAAATTTTTAGTTTTTTACAGGATATGATCAGAGTAAATGGTTTATTTTTGGTGGTTGCTTAAACTAAACATGTTTTGGTGAATTTTGAGCTTAGAGTTGGTTCCCAATAGAACGGCATGTCGTCGATGAGAAGTTCAAGGACCGTCTGAAACCTAAAATGTGACGATTCTTTCTGTTCTTGCAGTTTCTGGATCTAATAAATGGTTTAGTTTTACAGATTTTTTAAATACATGACACACTTTTCAAACCCGCTGTCAGGTTTTGGGGTTTAGAGGTTTAACATAGAAAGTTCTAGTCAGTAAAGAAGTATTACAAGTCATTGGCTGGTTCTGGTCTGGTCCAGTTGGTGTGACTGGATCATACTGGCGAGGAAACCACTGCTGCTGCTGGTCTGACTGGCAGCTTCAAGGAAACCAGATTCCCTCAGCTGGAATGAGATTTCCATCATTTAATTTAAGACAGATTCTTTTAGACTAAACCTCTAAATGACACATTTTCTGTTACAGCTACTTGTTTTTAACATCCTGTAAAAGTTCTGTTGAGCGGTTCTGTGATGTTTTATTTGAAACTGGACAAAAGAGAGAGATCAGGAAAGACACTCAGCTTGAATACTGTATTTATATATAAATGTATGGAGCATGTTTGTCACTAACAGATGAGTTAAAGCTGCTTGTACTGAACGCTGCAGTAACAACAGTGAAGCAGAAACTTTCCTTTCATGCACATGAAGGTTCTGCTTCAGTTCTAATCACTTGTGTCCGATATAAGAGCAGCAGCGTCCTGATGTTCAGCAGCTGATGTTTGTCACAGTTTAATTCTTTATCCTGTTCATGTTGTGTTCACTGAGCTCACGTACACGGCGTGACAGAACATCTCACTGTCAGTAAAACAGCAGAAACTGATGTCGAAGAACTTCAGGATTTAGTTTGTCCACCTTCATCCATTTAACTCGTAGAAACATCAAACCAATCATCAGTTTTCTTTAAAGGCCTCCAGACCGAGGTTCTGCTCTGAAAGTTTGTTCAGGTGCTTCAGTTACACTGCAAAAAAATAAAATAAAAATTAAAGAAATCCCTTTAAAATAAATAAATAAATAAAACGTTAAAATCTGGCCAAAAAAAAAAAAAAGGAACACTAAAAAATCCCTTACAAAAAAACTCAAAAAACAAACAAAAAAATTGTTAAAATCTGGAAAAACAAGTGCAATTTTTTTTTGAAAAACAACAAAAAAAGTCTAATATAGAAACATTCAAAAACCATGAAAATTAAACATAAAAAAGCACATTTGTTAAACCTCTTATGTTTATACATCAGCTGATTTAACTACAGTAATTTTACAGTCACACATTATAAAAGAATTAATTTGAATTAGTAAAAATTAGATTTTTTTTTATGTTGACATTACTCACTCTTAATTTTGACCATTATCTGTTTTTTGCTGATTTAGATCCTTAAACATTTTACAGTTTTACAGCCAAACATTATATATATATGTAAATAATAAGGTGGATATTATTACAGTATAATATATATTTAGTGTGGACATTATTACCATTTTACAATCTTTAAAATATATGTTAAAAAATTTTAAAGGTTCAAATACAGTGAAATAGTGTCATCAGACTGTTCAACACTGTAAAAGAATGAATCATAGCTATTTTTGACGTCAACATTATTTATATTTAACCTGTAAATTAAAATTTTTTTGTGATTTTACTATAAATTATGTGTCATTTAAGGAAAAACAGTAAAATAAAAATGAATAGTTTGTAAAATGATAAACTGATTGAACTAAGTGTTTACGGTGCACATAAACACATTTATGAGCATGACGTGTGCAGAACTCATTATTGTGACACTACAGAGCTACAGTGAGAAATAATAAATGAAAGGATTATGGAGGGTCTGCTTCACAATGGCTCCTTTACAATGTGTGGGACGTATGGATGGATGTGAACAATAGACAAAAGAAAATCAATAAAAGAGAATAAGCGAGTAGATGCAGCCTTCAGAGACGTGGGTCCCCAGAGGAGGCTCCAGAGGTGGGATCACACCAGATGCAGATGAGGAGCTGGTGTTGCTCTTTAAGACTGTTTGCGGAGGGAGGTTCAGAGGAAACGCTGCAGCCCAGATAGGAGATAAGGAGAAGTGAGAGCAACAGCCACGTGCTGCTCACACAACACAGGGACCACGAACACGGTAAGAACCACCAGAACTCAGAGCTCCGGACTTCTGTTCTTTTCTGTTGGTGCTCATAGAAACGACCTCAGAGGGACCCGGCTGGTGTTTAGCTTCTGGCTTTGGTCCAAACAGAGGCAGCTTTAGTGAGTTAGTGAGGAGCCAGAAGTTCACTGGGAGCTTCATCCGAGGTCATGTGGTGGAGTTCAGGTTAAACATGACGTTCTGTTGGCGTTCATCAAACACATACAGGAACCAACCGAAAGTAACCCCCGGGTTTTTAAATTAAACTCTGAGTATTTACTCTTTAAACCAGTAATCTGAGGCCATGAAGACGTTGTCCGTGTGCTGCTGAGGTGGATCTAATATTACGAGCTCTCATTTTATCTTTTATTACAGAAAGTTAAACAATAACAAACGAGGAAACTTCTTTTATGACTCAGTAACGGCTGCCGGTGATTTCCGACACACTGACAGTGAAACACAGTGACCGTGTTTTAAAGTATGACTGATATAATTTACATAATTAATATTAATAATGTGTTTAATGCTGTGACTAGACTGTGTGATAACGTTTGTGTTGTTGTAATAATGACTGCAGTTGTCTGTAAAGTACGACGTTTTCTTCAGTTGTATTAAAACTACTGAGAAAAAAATCACCTAAAAGAGCTGAAACAATAATTAACTAATGAGGCAGGTGAAGGGACACATTTAAGAATTAGGAACTTTTATTAAAAGGCAGCGACGTGTGAACACTTGTGGTCAATTATGTATGTTTATAGAGATATAAAAATGTAAAAATTAGTTGATTTAATGTAAAAAAGTTGTAAAGTAATCATTAATATTCGTAGCCGTTTAAATCCAGTCTGCTCATTACTGCTTTTTCTTTTCCTATTATCTGCTTATTTTAATCCACATCCTCTATTTTTGCAGTCGTCTACTGTTAAATCTTGTTTTTGGCTCCAATAAAACATCAGAATTTATAGTTTTAACCAGATTGTGATGGTATTTTTACAGATTTACTCTCACAATTTACCTAAACTGTATTATTGATTAAAAACACTAATAATATTCTTCACTACTGTTATAAGTTGTGTTTTTTGTGATTCTAATTCATTAAAGTGCTGCAGTAAAACAGGTTTACTGTGTAATCCTCTGATTATTTACTGTAACTGTAAATAACAGGAAGCTGTTGGTTGTATTTTAGTTTATTTACGGTGTAGAAGCAGAGCAGCAGCCAATCACCTGCTTTATTGATTAGTTATTGTTAAACCAGCAGATCATTTAGTTTGTTATATGAAAAGTGCTCGTTTACCCTCTAAAAGAAGTCAAATATCTGCATTTATGACTAAAAATTCAACAGTTTTATATCTTCGGTGCCACATTAAGTTTAATTATTGAGTCACAGCTGGTTCTGATTCTGATTTTTAATCCTGAACAGGTGCTGAAGTCTTTCCTTACAGTCTGTAGCTCCTGCAGACGGATCCTTCCTCATCCTCATCCTCATCCTCATCATCATCCTCCTCCTCCTCCTCTTCTTCTTCTTCCTTCAGTTTCCCACGAGACCTGCCTCCTGGACCAGGTGCTGGAGCTGATTATGAACGAGAAGCCCCCCAACAGCACCAGCCTCTTCCTGAACGAGGACGCCGACAAGCCGCCGCTGCCGGACCGAGGAGACCTGAGGAGGCGCCTCCGCCGGGCCATGGAGAGGAGAGCCAGCAGCGTGAAGCAGAGGATGGGCTCGGTCAGCAGGGACGGCGTCCGGGCCTTCCTCAGGAGGAACCTGTTCGTCCTGTTCACGGTGGCCGCCGTGGCTCTGGGTGAGCTCAGAGGGAACCAGAACCAGAACCCGGCTGCTTCTGCGCTCCATCTCACATGTTTATTCATTCTGTGTGTGACTGTGTGTTCGTGTCCAGGTGTGATCCTGGGCTTCGCTCTCCGCCCACACAACCTGTCGCTGAGGGAGATCAAGTACTTTGCGTTTCCCGGCGAGCTGCTGATGAGGATGCTGCAGATGTTGGTGCTGCCGCTCATCGTGTCCAGTCTGGTCACCGGTCGGTTTCTCACAAACACTGAAACACGTTTAAAGCTCCAGCTGGTCGTCAGACACCACACTGTAAAATATCATTAACTATTAATTATAACATTAAAAACAATTTACTGTCATGTTACAGATTGTTCCTGTTTGATTCAGATGCAAACAGAAGCAGTAAAATCAAAGAAAGAAAAATTAATTTACATGTAAAACCCTGAAATAAAAAATAAAAAATCTGTATTTTAAAAAATGGTAATGTCTTATTTAACATTACTCGACTGTAAAATTACTCTACTTTTTAGTATATTAAGTAGGAAAAAAATGGGTTATTTTACAGATATTTGCTTTAATTTCAAAAAATCATTACATATATTAAAGACCGAAAAATGTAAAATTCTTTTATTAAACAGTTATTTTACAGATTTTCCCTGTTTTCTTATGTTAAAGACAATAACTTGTAAAAAAAAAAAAAATAGTAACTAGTAACTAGTAAAAAAAACATAGCAAAATTTTTTATTTTTTTTAAAAAATGGTAATAATTTACTTGACAATATTAGATTGTAAAATTGCAGTTGTTTATTGTATTTAATATTTTAAAGAGATTGTTGTTGTTGTTTTTTTTTTACTGACATTTGCTGTTATTTAACAAAAAAAGTTTATGTATCTTAAGGACAAAAAAAATGGTAAAAAATATTTAAACACTATTTTAAATTTTTACAGATTTTCCCTATTTTGTTAAATTGCAGATAATATGTAAGATAATCACAAAAAAAGTATTAATTCACAAATTTAGTTTAAAATAAAACAAAAACTGAACAGGCTACAACTATAAATTATGTCCACATGAAAAATCAGTATTTTAACAATTAATATTTTGTTTATTTACAATAGTGACTGTAGAATTTCACTGTTTTACTGTAAATCAGCTAAAAATCTTATTATTTCACAGATATCTTCCATTATTATGACAGTTGTTGTTTCACTATTCCATGTTTGTTAACATATTTTCTCTGCCACCATTAGAGCAGATTTTTCGGGTTTATTTACAGATTTTTAAAATTTTTTTCTCAAAGTTCTCACACAGAGTTAAGTTGATAACAAATGCAGTTTAACACAGAGACGACAGGATATTTTGTATATTTTAGACGTCTGAAGGAAAATCAAAGTGAATGAAAACACATTGAATATTTATTCATCAGTTGTAGATGAACACTGGTAAAATGTAAAGTTCTTCCATCAACTCTGTGATTCAGGCATCTCCTCCCTGGACAGCAAGGCGTCCAGTAAGATGGGCGTCCGTGCGGTGGTCTACTACATGGTGACCACGCTGGTCGCCGTCTTCATCGGCATCGTCATCGTCGTCATCATCCGGCCGGGGAAAGGCAGTAGGGACAGTCCTGTGGGCAAAACCGGAAACATTGAACCGGTTCAGGCCGCGGACGCTTTTCTGGACCTCATCAGGTACCACCTGACCTCAGCGAGTCCTCATACGTCACCGGTCACAGTCAGAGTCCCCGTCTGATCATCTGTAGACGTATAATTACAAAAGATTGACTTTATCTCTCTATTTATGCTCTAAACATGAAACTATAGGTAGCAAACATTAGCTTAGCTTAGCTTAGCTTAGCTTAGCAATGGCAACACAACAAACCACATGTAGTAATAATTTAACATCTCTGCTTTCAGATGCAGCCTCATGTGTTAATTATTGAGGTCAACAATTAACAGCTTCCATTATTTGTGCTAAGCTACGCTAACTGGATACAGTTTCACACTCAGGTGACATGAGGGCGGTTTGCATCTAAACATGTGCACAAAAGAGAATAAGAGTGTTTACACAATATTAAAGTATTTTCTCAGAGGCTTTATGTGTTTATGAGGATGTTCACACAGGACATGACTACCGTATGAAGGTTTCTGATCAACACGATGCACAACCGGCTCTGATTTGTTCTGTTTCATTCCAGGAACATGTTTCCCCCAAATCTGGTTGAAGCCTGTTTCAAGCAGGTGAGACCTTTTTTTTTTAACTTCCACTTTATTTCACATGTGAAGAAAGTTTTCAAATCTCCAAATTTCGTTTCATGACCTCGTCTTTTGTTACCAAATCTGACTGAATCAAGCACAGCAGCAGCTCACTGAAGATAACTGACCTTACAAACGTGTCAATGAGCTTAACTTTGCGTCTCTCTCAGTATAAAACCGTGTACAAGAAGATTATTCACACGAGGAACGTGACGGTGACCCTGAATCTCACCGAGTCTCTCAACATGACCGAGTCCAACCTGAGCGTGAACCTGAGCAGAGTGCTGCACACCATACAGGTGGGTGGACACGGGCCTCCAGGCTAGAGCTTCTCTACACATTTCTGTATTAAAGAGCCCCTATTGTGCACATTTACAAGGTTATTATTGTATGTTGGGCGTCCACTAGATCATGTTTACATAATTTTCTTTTATGTGCCCCCTGTGCATGTCGCTGTTTTAGCTCCTGTCTCTTTAAGGCCCTACTTCCTGTCTGCTCTGATTGGTCAGCTGGCCCAATAAAAGCAAATTAACGCCACTATAACTTTAAATCTATGCGTTTAGTCACAGAGGCCGATGAGCAAGAAGAACTATTGTGTCATGTGTCCGATGCAGGAGACGGTGGAGGAGACGGTGCCGGTGTCGGGCTCCTCTGCTGGTGTGAACGCTCTGGGCCTGGTGGTCTTCTCCATGTGCTTCGGCCTGGTCATCGGCAACATGAAGCAGCAGGGCCAGGCTCTGAGGGACTTCTTTGACTGCCTGAACGAAGCCATCATGAGGCTGGTGGCCGTCATCATCTGGTCAGTGCAGACTCACGTCCAGCTCCATGAGTAACCCACACAGCTGCTCAGGTTGTTGTTCTGTTTATGGGTTTAAGTGCAGTTAAACATCTTTAAAACACACTGTAGTGTTTGTCTCTTCAACATAAATTAGGTAAAGTTCTTGACATCTAAACATGACTAAAGTAAAAACTAGACTCAAATTGTCAAAGACAGCGAACTCTGTAAAAATGGATTTGAGGTTTTTGTAAGCTGAGCTCATTTCCTGGATGTATTGAAAGATTAAGTTCTAGTCTGACCAACTAACTACTTCAGTCAGAATCATTCAGGTGACTTTCACTATGTATAACCTAAAAATGCACAAGAAACCCCAAAACAAAGGACTGTCCCTGCAAAAATGCTCAAGGAACCCCCAAAATCAAGGGGTTGAAACAAAAAAACACAGAGCAAACCCTGTAAAACGCAATGAAAACCCCAAAAACAATGGACTGCCCTTGAAAAAGCACAGGAAGCGCCAAAAACAAGAGGTTGCCCCTGCAAAAAGGCACAAGAAACCCCAAAACAAAGGACTGTCCCTGCAAAAATCCTTGAGAAACCTGTGAAATCAAGGGGTTGCACCTGGAAAAAACGCACAGAAAACCCCGAAAACAAGAGGTTGCAAATGAAAAATGCATTGACATGAAATGAAAAGTGTTTGTATTTGAGCTGCTTTCTTGTAGAACTTTTAGAGATTTGTGTAGTACCTGGTTGCACCACCAGATGGAGCCTGTTACTGTTTAACGTTTAGCTAAGAACAGCCGCCATGACGCAGACTTCTGTATCGGTTAATGACCAGTTTTTATGATTCTGTCTGGACATCTTCACTAGAAGTCTGTTGGTTTTAATTTTATTAAGTTTGTAGAACCGTTAGTATAATTATAAAAGTTGTTGATTAAACCTAAAGTATGAACTTTAGAGGACAGAGCTGATGAAGTTGTCAGCTTCACCTGTGTCGTCCCAACTGTTTATTCTAAGCGTGAGGAGCTCAGGTAAATGTGCAAACAACTGAGTTTTTGCTCTTTTAATCCAAGATTTTAAGATATTATTTACAGTGTTTAACATTTACTGTTTGTGGTTCAGCTGCTTGGATGTGAACTTTAAAAACAAAGAAATTCAAAAACTAGTCTTAGAGCTGAATTCCTGCTCAGATGTTCTATTAAAACATGTTTAATGTCTCCGTCCGTCTGCACCTGCCAGGTACGCTCCAGTGGGCATCCTGTTCCTGATCGCCGGGAAAATCGTGGAGATGAAGGATCTGGCCGAGGTGGGCGGCCAGCTGGCGATGTACACGGTGTCGGTCATCGTGGGCCTCCTCATCCACGGCCTCTTCGTGCTGCCGCTGCTCTACTTCCTGGTGACCAGAAAGAACCCGTACAGCTTCATCGGCGGCCTGCTGCAGGCGCTCATCACCGCTCTGGGAACCTCCTCCAGGTGAAGCTCAGACGCTGCTGTTCTGGACGTGTTGAGCACAAAACCTGATGATGTACTGATCTGTACTGACCCCATCAGAGCGCTGCCCCGGGGTGGAAGTGTCCCCCGACCGGGACGAATGTTCTGATATTCATCATTAATTGAATATCCAGAGAGCAGAAAGTTCTACTGGGACCAGCCCTACTAGTTATTATAACAACTATAAACAATAATGAACAACTAATGAGCCTTCCAGCATCAAGCCCTCCTCGTATCTGGACCTCCGTCTTGACAATCCGACAGCCTTGATATCCGACATAGAAGAAGGTTTTACATTTAGCGTCAGGTCATCGAGTCATGACTGTATAATAGCAGCTTATCGATGCAGCTACATCAGCGCCTGAACTCTGCTCACATGGTTGTGTTTCGTTCTGTCTCCTCCAGCTCGGCCACTCTGCCCATCACCTTCCGCTGCCTCGAGGAAAACAACCACGTGGATAAACGAGTGACGCGATTCGTCCTCCCGGTCGGCGCCACCATCAACATGGACGGCACCGCCCTCTACGAAGCCGTGGCAGCCATCTTCATCGCTCAAGTCAACGACATGGACCTGAACTTTGGTCAGATTCTCACCATCAGGTAACTCCGCTTTGGTTTTGGTGGTTCTGGTTCACAGTTTACACACAAATACAGAAAATAGACGAGGCCAGAGTGGAGTCCGTCAGTGCACAGTCTCCATCCTTATATTGATTATTAGTGTAATTATCAGGAATTAAATTTGTCATACGTGACCAGGCTTTTCATAAAGAGACAGAAGCTCTTAAGTGTCACAGATTTTAGCATTATATATCATGAGGACATATATTAACCCTATTATATTATATTATATTATATTATAATCCTATATATTAAAAGTGGCAGATTTGAATGTTATCATTTTAAAAAATCACCAAACTTACACCATTTATCAGAGTCAGAAACTGTAAAAACAGAAAATATCCCCTGATGTTCAGCGTCCAGCAGGTCCTGGAAGTCAATATGTGAGACATGCAGTTCTGTTGGGAAAAATAACCAAATCCAAGCTTAAAATTCTGATATTTAATCAAAATCACTTCAGTCCACACGTTTCATTTACATATCTACCCAAAATAAAATGGTTTTAATAATGAGATTATGGTAAAATGTCTTGCTCCTCTGCAAAACTGTGGAGCCATGACGGCCTGAGCCGTAAGCAACCGTCACGTGACAAACATTCAGGACTTCTCGGCTGAACTGCAGGCCGTGTACACAGAGCAGATAGGAGACATGCATTAAATGTAAATACTACAACATCTACAGTGTCTAGAGTCAGCATTCTTTCCCAGTATTGTTGGCACATGTGAGCTCTTGGAGAGATGTTGATGTGTTTCTCATATTCATGTAAAATAAATAATTCAAGGAATTAAATTTTCATTTCTTCTTTTAAAAACATTTTTCCTTATACCTGTGTCCTGCTGCACAGTGGAGGTCTCTGAGTCCTTCCTGCTTCTGGTCATGGCTGTGCTCTTTCCATAAAGGACTTTATTATCGTACACGAGCGAGTGAAAAGGGTTAAAAACGTCCCTCCGATGCATTATTCATGGACTGAATGTGTGATACAGTTTACAGAGCATATGGCAGCGTTACAGCTCCTCGTGCGCCGCCTTCGCTCGGCTCCCCCCGCCGCCAGCAGCGCCGTCACATGTGCTGTTTGTTTGTTTCCCTTTATGAAATGTCTTCACTCTCCTCTCCATCCCCTCCCACCGCCCACTCAGTATCACGGCAACGGCTGCCAGCATCGGAGCAGCAGGCATCCCTCAGGCCGGCCTGGTTACCATGGTGATCGTATTGACATCGGTGGGACTGCCCACGGAGGACATAACGCTGATCATCGCCGTGGATTGGTTCCTGTGAGTTCCCACTAAATGTCAGCTTGTTGGGGATTGGTCTGTGGCTGCGCCAGCCTAAATGTCAGAGTCGAGCTTCAGAGGAGCCCAGAGGTCCCACGACTACAAAGGTTACTGATGCATAATGCAGGGCGCCGGATCAGGACGCCGGCGAGCGTCTTCACAGCAGATGATGTTTCAGTTCTGCACGTGTCACCTCTTTTTTTTGTTGTTTTATCTGATTCTGTGTCTCTGTTGCGCCTCAGGGACCGGTTGCGAACCACCACCAACGTCCTGGGCGACTCGCTCGGCGCCGGCATCGTGGAGCACCTCTCCCGCAGCGAGCTGCAGAACCAGGACGCCGAGGTGCACAACTCGGTGATCGAGGAGAACGAGAAGCCCTACCAGCTCATCTGCCAGGAGAACGACACGGTGAACCACCTGAACAGCGAAACCACGATGTGAAGACGAGACCCGGAAAGACTCCGGAAGCGTTTTAGCTGGAAAGGTCGCCAAGGTGCAGCCTCCAGAAAAGTTCTTGGTCAACTGAGAGAAGTTGCTTTTTTGCAGTTGCAGACCACAAAACTCACATGTGAAATATAGAAAAAAAGGTTCTCTGGGAAACAAGGCGATGCAAAGCCTGTCCGGGGGCAGCTGGTGGCAGGAAATTAGGTACACATGCTGTTTAGGAGCAGCTACACATGCAGTGATGGAGCCCGAAGCCTTCAGACGCATCGAATTTCCAAAGATTTCTATCATTTATGATCCAGGCGGTCGAAACAGAATCAAAGCTGCTCAGAGTCGGAAGTATTATCAGAGAGAAACACCTCCAGTCTTTAACAAAACCAGCTGATCCTTCAGTCTGATGAATGTAAATCTGCACATTTTTGGCCAAAACTTAAACATCCAGTCCTCATCCTGACTACCTCTTAGAGTTTCTACATCGCTGCACAAACAAACAAACAAACAAACAAACAAACACGTGTAACAGAGTGTAAATACTTTAGTTCCTGTGTTTAATTCTGTGTTATTTAAGCTCCACCGTATAATTATACAGCTGAATGTATTTGACTGTTAAACACTGGAAAATGGTGAAAACTAAACTTTTACTTCTTGTTATTTTGAGGTCGTTTTAAGTGACTGTTTTTCATGCAGATGTTGTTTTATTAGGAGTATTTCTAGTATTTATTTGGTGCTATTGCGTTCGATATATGGGACACAGAAACAGCTGCAACAAAACTGAATGTGTTCATTTTCCAACTTTTATTTTTTACTCCAAGCAGCCGTTATTCAGTTCATGAAATAACTATGAAGAGAAATATCCAGCAATGTTTTCCATGTTGAACTTTGTATTTATCAGTTTTAAGATTTGTTTTATTTGACTTTTATTTTAAATGACAGCTCGACCAGTTAGTGTGTCTGAACCTTAGCGCAGCATCACACCGGCCTGTTTGTGTTTCCTGCATCTTATCTTATCAAGCATGTCGTTTGTTTTTATCTCGATTAGTTTTAATTGTACCTTGCAAGCTAATCAGTTATTTTCATGGTTTGGTGGAAAAGTACTGTGAGGAAAGCTGCTTTAAGCCTTGTGATGTTCTAGAGGAGTAGATATGAACGTTGGAATGCCGTTTTACTGAAACCTTATCTTGACTTTTGTGCCACTTTTTGTGCCCGTTTAGAGGTCGGCCTTCAGTTTGTACGCTCGGTGTTATTTTAGCGGATGTGTTGGAAGAAGAGCAGCTCAGCGTTTTTGATGGATTTGAAAAAAACAAATGTGGCAAATAAATGTCTCAGGAACTGAACTGTGGTTCTCATTATTGTGATTGTGGCTACCCCTTGTGGAGGATATCCTCCGGTCCAGAAGCTGCTCTCTTACAGACGAACGCGGGTCAAATGTGGCGTTCAAAAAAAAAAAAAAAACACAAACAGCAAAGCAATGAATTCTGTGTTTGGGCAGTTTGAATTAAATGCAAACAGTCGATCATTATAGAAGAAAAACTTTAACTCCAACACCAAGAAAGTATAAAGTCACGCCTCAGTGTTGTTGTTTTAAAACTGATCAGCTGATTAAACTAAACTAAAATAAAGTGAATTATTGAGCTGAAGCCTTTACTGACCAGGAACAAAAAGATGTTCTGTCATAATTCCCTGCAGTGATGCTCGTAGCTCTGTGAGGCTGTAAGTGAGCTAAATGCTAATAAACTGATGTTTACGATCCTCATTATCACAGTTTAGCATGTTAGCATGCAGCTGTTGCTAATGGCGGCGTCATTAGCTTTAAAATCAAGAGAAAGAATTTTACACCTTTAATGGTCCTTCAACGAACCATGTGTGTGATGTGTGAGTCTGTTGGGAAACTAAATCTCAGCTTAAAATTGTGATATTTAATTCAAAATTTTTTTTAAAGTCCTTTTTTCTAGATGCTTTAATTTTGAAAAAAACCCAAAAATTAATTATTTGCAGTAACTACATTCTGTGAAAATCAATAAACTCTGTGCTCCTTCGTTAAACAGAATTAAATGAGATGAAATGAAAAATACTTTATTTATCCCAGAAGGGAAATGCAATTCATGACTCAGCTGTAAGAAAACTCACATGACAAGAAATAAGAGACTTTTGTGCTGAACTGCAGACGGTGTTCCACAGAGCAGACAGATGTATGAAAACTAATTATTAAATGTAAATAGTAAACTATCTTTAGTATGTCGAGACACTATTTTTATTTTTTTTCAGTGTTGGTGACATTGTTTTAGGCTTCACTTACAAAATTAATTTTACGTGTCATTCATTCACATGCATAACATAAAATCTATATTTAACTAAACTTGTTGTAGATCTTTGTAGCCACTGTGTGGACGGTGGTTTGTGTGGACTTTGATGAGGAGCATCTCCAGACTCACCTGTCCCTCGTTTTTGCCGATTGGCCCGACAACCTGGTTCTGCTCTCCAGCCCTCCTGATTGGACCAGCACCAGTCCTCCCGTCCAATCAAACTGCAGCAATCCCCCACACAACTCTATAAAGCTGGAGCTAAACCAGCTGCTGTGACTTAATATGAGCAGCTTGTCTTTGGGGTCTCTCGTTGGGTTTTATGTGAATCTGTAGCTCCTGCTAACAGCTTTGTACCTGGGAGTTAACAAAATGGTTAGCGTAGCTCTGAGCTAACATGTGTTGCACTGAGGCAGCTGTTTGTCTGCCTGGAAACGGGTCCAGACTTTAGCTAATTCCTCTGCACCCATGTGTTAACTACCTTTAGTCAGCCACGCTAACAGCAGGCGTGTTGCTGCCATGTTCTGACGGTTGAGTGGGGAGTTTACGTTTAGTCTGTTCATATTGTGTCACATGCAAGTTTACACAAGTTTGCAGCTTCGTTAGCGATTTAGCACCACCCACCAGCCCTGTTGTCTTCGTAGCATTACCGCCACTTCTTTTATTTTGTTAATTAGTCACCAAACCCAAAACAACCAGTTTTGTGTTCTTCCCTTAACGGATCCCGTTACTGACCACAAACTAATTAAGCTGAGTCATGCTCTGTAAAGCTGTATGCACATAAGTGCTTTGGGCTAAATGCTAACAAACTGAATGTTTAGCAGGTTTCCTGTTCACACTGCTCATGATCACAGTTTAGCATGTTAGCATGTAGCTTCTGCTAATGGCAAATTAATTAGCTTTGCTCATAATGGGGTATGTAAACACCAGATGATGGTGCAGGAAAGTTATTGCAGCTCATCCTCTTTGCAAAATGAACACCTGGACCAAATGTCATTTTCAAGACTTAAGATTTAAGATTTATTGGTTGTCACATGCTCGTACAGTCTGGCCAGTGAAATGCAGCAGTGAGCAGGAGAGTTTGCTGCTAAACTGGTTTCTATCACAAAACAAACTCCACCAGACATCAACCTCACGGCAGCGTTTCAGGAGGAGGTCGGGGGTCAGTGACCTCGCGAGGCTTCATCCTCTGGGGAACATGAACACACATACGAGGAGCTCAAAGAAAGACACAGAAGCGCATCCGTTTCAGGTTAATTTATAAAATAGTTCACTTGAGATACTGTGTTGAACATACAGTGCATTCCTCTACGGTACAATGCTTGTGTGCTGCACACACGTTAGAGCCCTCTAAGTTTTAACAGCCTGGCCATGTGGTGGATTGAATCATGAAGACTTTGGCATAGTTTAGTGACAGACTATCGGTAAAAAAAGACAAATGCAAACTGCAAATAGATATTTAAATCTCTCGTCGGTGCCCGAGGGCCTAATTTTAAAAGATTGGAGTCGGGTTTCATACGGAGTTTACAAACAGTCAATATAGAAAGTGGACAAAAGCTCAGGAACACTTGAGATTTATGAGTGAAATCTTCTCTCTGATGCCCTTTTTGAGTTAACAAACAGTCTGAAAGCCTGAAAAGGGGGTTTTAACCCGACTAAAACCTACATCATCCTGTGACAAGCCCCGTTTACGTTACTGTGTGAAGTGTCGTTACACATCGAAGGTATACAAGTCACGAATAAGCATTGTTGCTGATGTACAATATTAATATCACTGCTCGTTTCAATACAACTGCTTCACATGGAGTGGTTATGTCGGAGTTGTAGAGGGAGACACTTTCAGGCAGACTCTGGCAAATAACAGTACAAGCCATTGAAAAGAAAAAAAAATCAATGCAACTTATCTTACAAACATCACTCCTCTGTGGAGACTGTCACGGCCACGTGTTGGGAATATTTCAAGCGCGGTTCATGTTTAAATATCTAAAGCCAGTTAAATACGTATTGCTGCCCAGATCTGATAGTGTAGATAGAGAGAGAGACACGATGACTGGAGAGTCAGCAAACGCCGCCGCGGAAAGACGACGAGCTGCTGACAGTTTACTTGGCCTGGAGGAGGAGAGAACGTGGAGATACAGGATGAGACACATGGAGGAGCTCTGAGACGAGTGTGTTCAGGGCGGCGCTACTCACTTATGACTACGAGTTTTCCTCCAACGCCGACGCCGCTTCGTCACTCCACGTTGAGAACCGCCCAGTTGTCTTTCTTGTCCTGAAGATGATGATGATGAAGAAGACGAAATATTAAATGCTGAAAATCCATTTTTATTGTGTTTTGTGGTTGTTATGAACTTCTGACAAACCTCAGACCCCGAAAACTTTCTATCCTCCAGCCAAGGAACCAATCGTGTTCTTATACAATTTTATGTTTATTTTATTTTTTGGGAATAACTCTTTTGTTGTATGCTGCTAAAGTTGTTGTTTGACAATGGCAATAAACATCTATTCTATCATATCTGTTCTATTTACTGCTTCTTCTGAGCCACAAGCAAAACACAACAAACGTTATGCTGTTGGCTGCAAGAGTGAACACAAGAGTCTTCATGCACTCCCAACATCTGAAGAGCTGAACATACAGAGAGAGTCTCCCCCGTCCTGAAGGTGGTGTGAGCAGCAGCTGCATTTTAAGCATTTAGACGAAGGTAAAATCAACCATCTCTGCATTATATTGAGCTGTAAAAGTGAAACATACATTCTAGGAGTATGTGTGGTTTCATTAAAATGTTCAAAAGTGACTAAATATCAGAGCTTAAATTAAAAACTGCATGAAAATCTCTCCGTACAGTCTCGTAATTCTGAGTGATACAAGCAGACACAATGGGTTGCATTGTCTACTTTTTAATTAAAACTCCATCTTAATTGGTTTTCAGGGTTTTTTTGTGTCTGACCTCTGACATGACGGGCAGGTTGTCATGAGGAAGCAGCCACATGGTCCGGTGGGCCTTGGTTCTCTGTCTCTGGAGGAGCTTCCTCAGCAACCGTTTCACCTTCCGGTCTCTGGGGTCGGCACATTTCACCGCCTTCTTCGTGTAAAGACTGTAAAAGCAAAAAGAGTTAAATCTTTCTACACAGCACAGGATGGCAGCACAAGGAAACGATAAGAAACTTTGATCTTCTGTATGCAAATGTACAAACAAATATTGAGGATTAAGATGTGTGTCAGGTGTGGCAGAGAATCTGAGCCCACGTTGCCAGAAAGAGAAGCTGTGAGATGAACTAGTGATTTTGTTTTACAGTAATAAGGAGAACAAGCTGTGTTTAGAAGTGAGAGAAGTCGACAGAAATCTGCAGAGAGGACCAAAAGAAACTCTTGTATCCACTGAATAAGGACTCCATGTTTTCGTTAGCGCTCCATTCCCCAGCTACATCAGATTTCTCCGACCTGCTGGAAACAATAGGTATCACAATGCAGTTTACTTAACTAAACCCTGCTGTTCTGACTGACTGGCTGCGGCAGGGCTCAGCTGGCTCGGAAGGTATTTTCAGATGGCTTGTTATTCCCACATATTTCCTTTCTTACTTCCCTGGCAATTACAGCTCCGAGCCCTGCCATAACAACATGACCTGGAAAGATGACAATGCCTCTCAGCCCCGGCTCTGCCCTCCTCTAACGAGAGGCATATTTTCCATGCCTGCAGATTGCTTTGTGCTCTTTAGCTCCAGGAGTGGATAGCTGAAATACTTGCATGATGGCTTGTATACTGCAGTCGGGCCCCTCCGTCTGCACCTCAAACCGCAACACATCTTTGGTACGCACCTTGCCGTGGGAGTACAACATGCAACACTGGACATCCCTCTGCATCTGCACGCCTTTAGCTGGGAAACAAAAGAGACAAACAAGGGGAAGCAGAGTGAGCCGAGGGAAGTTTCCTGGTGTCACATTCAGTTAATCACGCAGGCTTACTGCTTTCTGTTTCACACCTTCCATTATGTTTTACTTTGTGAGGCCACGAGAGTGAAAATGTCTTTCTGAAGTGAACAAGCAACATCATAGCAGCTGCAAAAGTTTTGCACATTATTGTACATTTTCAGAGCAACAGAATCGTTTTGCATTCATATCTAGTCATTTCTAAACCCTGCAAAGTCAAGATCTGGATTTTCTTTTTGAAGTGCAAAGCAAAATCATACCAGCTGCAAAAGTTTTGCACATTATTAGAGCAAGAGAAACATTTTCGATTCATATTAAGTGCATTTCATGATCATTTCTAAACCCTGCAAAGTCAATACTCTGATATTTCTTCCAAAGTCAGAACAGCACTAAAGCAGCTGCAAAAGTTTTGCATGTTATTGTACATTTTCAGGGCAACAGAATCATATTGCATTCATATTTAGTGCATTTCATGATCATTTTTTAAACCCTGCAAAGTCAATATTATGATATTTTGTTCTGAAGTGAGAGCAGGACTAAAGCAAAACCATCCCAGCTGCAAAAGTTTTCCACATTATTGCACATTATCAGACATGACCCCAGCAACAGAAACACTGTGCATCACATTCAGTGCATTTAACTGTCATGTTTAAACCCTGCAAAGTCAATACTCTGATTCGTACAAAGACTGAGTGTCTTGGCAGCTTTTGTAGACAGAAGAGAGAGAAAAAAATTGCCCGTTCTGCAGAATGTGCACATGCTCTCCAGTTACATATACACATAGTCGGACATGGACGCACACATACACACACCAGAATGCCAGAGGAATTACAATGGCATCCCGTGGTGCTGAGAAACATGCTGCCATGCCAGTGAAACGAGAGAAAGTGAGAGAAAAAGAAGAGAGGGGGAGTGTGTGTTTGTGTGCAGGGCTTTCGCCGCGACGTCTCTCCATCCTGAAGCAAATCTGTAAACAAATTAAAGTGTGATGTGAAGCAGCAGGAGCAATCAGAGCCGCAAAATAGGACAGTGCTGGCTTTGTTGTGCCACAGATGATTCTGAATCCATCCTCAGCGCACTTCCAGCGTTCCCACTACCTCTCAGAAAACAGACGACACCATCACGCAGCCCTGACACAGTTGCTTGTGATTTCAGATGCTCGTCCTCCTGCCCTCTCTGTTTACATCCATGCCTCCCTCCCTGCTGCTCCTGCTGCTGCTGCTACTGCTGCTATCCCTCTTTCCCTTCTTCTTTCCTTTTCTGTCTTCGCCATCGCTCTCCCTCTCTCTCTCTCTTTTTTTTCTTGCTACACTGTCCACCTGCAGGGTGCATGCAAAGCCATGCAACACACTCACACGTATGGAGAGAAGTATGGTTGCGTCCTACCTTCTACAGATGCCAGGAAGATAACAGTCAGAGAGATAACAGTCAACATCTGCAGCATGAACATGATGAGGCTGGCAGAGAGGAGGATAATCTACTCTGTCACCTCTCCCTCTATGGCTGCCTCTCTTATATGACTCCCTCCCTCTCTTTATACCTCCCTGCCCATCTCTCACTCACTCACTTTCACCACCTCTCTTTTTCTGTCTTACCGTCTTCCCCTCCCACCCCCTCCTCTGTTTATCCATTTTCAGTCATTCTCACGCTCAACCAAACTCCCCTCCCTCTCATTCTCTTTCACATTCATCTCACCTCTCACTCATTTCTCCCTCCTTGTCTCCTCGCTCAGGATGCCAAGCCTCATTTGTCTCATTTCAGGCTTTAAAATTCCTCCTTTCGTCCTGTTACTTTTCTCGTCTTTGGTGCATTTTTTTTTTCCTTTTCTTTCCAGATCAAAGGGGTGAGAAGGAATCACCATGTGGCTTTCACATGTATCCTCATGATCGGCCCAGTTATTTGGCACAAATTTATTTTCTAATAACCAAAATAATGTTCACTTAAGTGTGGTTTGCAGCTGTGTAGTGTAGTTGTGGAAACTCTGGGTGAACTGTAGGCGTGTCTGACTCGTGCATCTGAATCGCTTCTGCAGCAGAGTTATGTTCTCTGTGAGATTCCAGACAAAATGCCAAACACACCTAGAAACTATGATAAACTGCATTCATTAGCTCAACTTAACCCTGAATGTCAACATGCATAAATTAATCACGGCTTTTTTAAACATCTGTTGTAGATATGTGACTTTAAATGTACCGTACACGTTCTCCTTGAGCCATTAAAAGTGAGCTACAATTTTGTTGTTACTGACTTTGGAACCACCACCTGCAAAAAGTCTCAGATAAGCCAGAGTTTCTTATTAAGCATTTGTTTTCTTTGTCTTGATTTCATGCCGTGTATTTTGTGGCTGCAAATTTTCCACATAATTGTTACACTGTAAGCCTAATGTTTGCTTAATGTCAAGTTATTTGCTGTTTTTTTTAAGCAGCGTTCCACAAGGATTGGTCCTTGGCCTCTTGCTGTTTTCAGTTTTTATGCTCCCTATAGTTCAGCCAATTATAAATGCAAGGTTAACTTTCTATGCTGATGATACACCGCTGTACGTGTCGGAGTTCAAGCTCAAAATAAAGCTTGTTTTAAAGCATGTGTTACAAATATCTAGTATTAAATGCTACAGATCCTTCTCCGTAAAATAAGAAATCTTATATTTTGTTGGGGATCTGTAATCGTGCATCTCATTTACAGCATAAACTTAAAAGTGTAGCATCGATTCTAAAACCAGTCTGTGGGCTTTGTTTGATTCTAGTCTATGTTTTCTTTTTATAATTTTTGTACATAATAGCTTTGCTGTCTTTTCATTTCCTACAAATTGTTAAACTCCAGGGATAAAGTTTGCTTAATGTTATGATATTTGCACATTTTTGAAGCGGTGTTCCACAAGGATTGGGTCTTGGCCTCCTGCTGTTTTCAGTTTTTATGCTCCCTATAGTTCAGGCAATTGTAAATGCAAGGTTAACTTTGTATGCCGATGACACACCATTGTATGTGTTAGATTTTGAACTTAAAATGAGGCTTGTTTTAAAGCATGTGTATACGTTGTGATAAATGCTACAGATCATTTTCCAAAAAATAACTAATCTTATATTCTTATGTTTGGCCCCCGTAATCGTCTCATTTACAATATAAACCTCAAAGTTTGGACGCAATATGAAACCAGTCTGAGGGCTTTATTTGATTCTAGTTTATGTTTTCTTGCTGTAATTTTATTTTTGTGGCTTGGTTCATAACAACACACCAATGTCAGCAAGTAAATGTCATTGGTTTGGCTAATAAAGTGATTCAGATGTTTGAGAAACATGTCCGTAATGGGTCTTTGCAGCCTCTCCCCCGTCAGCCCATAAATCATCATAAAACTGTTGCTTTGTTTTGATAACACCCCAAGAATAAGCTGAAGGCGCGATCTGAGAGTCAAGCATCTACATCCATTACAGAGGCTTCAACAGAAAACAGCATCAGGAGCTCATTACATGGACAGAAACCAGAGAAATTGATGTGGGCCTGCATCTGTTTCACTAAGATATTCCGTTGAACCGACCTTGTGGTGGAAGGGGGGAAAAAAAACGACAAACACAGATGTCAACGTGGGATTATGCAGCCAACAACAACAGTGCATTAAATGATTAATAAAAAGCCTGATCAGGTTTGACAGATACACAAGTGTTTCCACATTGCAAAGTCAGACTGCTTCAGCTGGCTGGATAATTAACAAATCAGCTATAATTCCTAATAACGAGGAAATGCATTCCTGTCAGCTGGTAGATCCAGAACACATTATATGATCATACATAGACTACAACGTCGGGGGAGTTAAAGTGCTGCTGCCATCACACTTACTGAGGCCAGGAGTTGTTTGAATAGCTCTGATTGTGTAACGTGTTGCCTGGAGTACTGCTCATTCCCATGTCCTTCCACTGTAGAAGTGAAGTGTGCTCAGCTTCAGAGAGTGTGTGACCTGGCTGCCTTAAAACCTTGAATCAGGCAAGCTGAGGAATTCCAGTTATTTGCACACATATCTGAGTTCCCTCAACTAAGAATAATAGTTGGTGTGGCAAAGGTGAGGCTGACAAAACAGTCAGTCCAACTCTGTACTTTAATGAACAAGTTTTTTTTAATAGTGATAACAACAAAATACTTCAAGTTGAACAAACCTACGTCCTCACCGGAACGACATGAAAGACGAGTAAAACCAACAAACTTCTGCTGATATCTTGAGCTGTAACAAAAATGAAAGAGATTTAAACATCTTGTTGAATTAATTTGTGATATTTAGTTGTGCAAACATAATAATTAAAGGTGATTCCACCAAGCATCTTAATGAATGAACTTTAAAGGCAGCCTGGTTACATTTTGAGGAATAATGCGTCTTTTTCAATTATAAGAAACTGAACTGGTCATTTCTCACATTACTTACGTTAAGCTGAGCTCACTCTCTGGTCGGAGGTCATTGATCACTACAGAAGTCTCTGTCATGGTGTCCCTTTGCTCGCTGAACCCCGATAAAGACATAAAACCACCTCTCACATCCACAGCAATCAAAATTCAAACACAGCACAACGAACACAACAAACACAAAACTTAATCTAATTAAAATACTTAAAGCCATTTAGATTTGAACTTTAACATTCCCGTGGCTCGTTGCACTGCCAACACGGAACTGCTTCTATTCCAACAGTATTGAACACAAGGAGCAAGCTGCAGCCTTCCATCTAATTAAACAGTGAGAGGCTCCACCTGGTGGTGCAACCAGGTACTACAGCTGATCTATAACACATTTTCAGACATTTCTTAACTTCTGCCTTATTGATTCGAATATTTTCAATTGGTTAAATAATTAATCGATTAGCAACTGATCAATAAAATCCCTTCCATTACCTTCAAAAGTCCTACAAGATAACAGCTGAAGTACATATAATAAATCCTGATCTCCTATGCATTATGTTTTAAGGGTTTCCTCTGCATGTTTACAGAGGTCACTCAACATAGTTGTGTGAATCAGGGAATCTATGCTATCTGAATGACTCTGGCTAAACCAGCTAACAGAATAAAACGCTGTACTTTAAGTAATGATTGAACTACCTTCAGAAAGAGAACCGAGGGAGCAAAAACCTCACACCTTTATTTTTAAAGGGCCCCATCACCCAAACCTAACCAGCCATGCAGATCAGGTTTTTTTCACTTGTAGTCTTTTAAATTCACTTTAAAGAACGACATTTTCATTAAAAACATTTGTTTTTGGTCATCTCCAAGGATGTAGAAGTGAACTCCAGGACATCACTGTTGGAGGTAGTTACAGATGCAACATGGATCATCTCCACTGGAACCTTTTACATCAGATGAACGAAGGTCTTCATCCTGATGATAAGTGAAAGATTTTATTCCCTCATAAGGGACAGAAAACATTATAAAGAGACCATTATGACGTGTAGCCGATGTCTATGGGCCTGATACCGAGCTGAACATTGCAATTCTTCATCTGCTCCATCCAGTGTTTGATACACAAATTATAATAATCAGTTCCTGGTTTGTGTACCTGCAGTTATTCTGTTACAGCTTCAGGGTTTGTTTTTTAAAAAAAGTTGTTGCATCGTCTCAAACTGAAAACTCAACAGCAAACTTTAGGATTTTGTGGATCCTTAAATGCCAATAAAAACGCAGCTCGTCTGGTGGCTGCGTTCTGTTCTGATCTACTGAGGCGGCTGCTGCTGCTGCTGGACGCTGCAGAAACTTGTATCTTCCCTCAAGTTATTCCTGCTGGATTGGCACCAAAGTGTGACATTTATAGCCGATGGTTCGGTGAGATGAAAAGGCCTCAACCGACACGCTGCCTTGTCTTTTTTTTTTTTATGTTTGGCCGCGGAGCTCAGTTAAAACCGCCGGGGTGGATCCACTATATAATCCTGCAGATATTTCCTCCTCATTATTACATAAATTAAGCATATAAATTCAAACAACACGCCACAATTCATTACCCTTAATGCTTTGGACGTACTGTTCTTTGCAACAACAACAAAAAAAGTAGATAAATGTTGAGTGCCTTGGCAGGACCGGACTGGAACCATGAGTCACCTCTCACGCAGGGAAATATTGCTTCAGACACTAATGTGGGACATGTAATGGACATATTTTGTAGGGTTAGATCAATACGGGCCCGCAGAAGTTCCTGTGGTTCGACAGATCTTAACGTCGAACAAATGATCCCTTTGGCTTCTGAAACAGTCGGTGGAAAAATTCAGACAACAAGGCAACATTATGTCCCTTATGGATCCCTGGATATGAAAATATGCAGGCTGAGCACTGAGGGGTGAGGTTGGGGTAAAAATGTGTATATACGTGTGTGTGTGTGTGTGTGTGTGTGTGTGTGAGATGGGGGTGTGGTTAACTCAAGAATTTGACCCAAGAAATCAGGTTGGAATCTCAGCTGCAAAAACATACCTTCCACATGACTACAGGTCTGCTGGTGAGACGGAGACATTTTGTGCATATCTCTGCAGTGATTAAAATATCTCCTGTCAAGGTGTGCGGAGCCGCAGACATGCAAGAAATCAGGCGGTGAATGGCCGAGGAGGGGGGTGGCCATCTTCCTCTGCGAGGGGGAGCAGGGCTGCAGAGGGATGGAGGGATGCTCTGGCCTCCAGGAGATGATGGAGGACTCGGCTCACCGCGCTGGACACGCAGCCTAAGAAGATCTTATTGTACCTGACGGGGATTTCTGAGGGATAAGATGCAGGGGGGCAAATACTTGATATAATCTTTGAAAGAAGGCGAACGGGGAGGTCCACGAAACAAGTTGTGTGCGATGCAGCTCTCAATACAGAATCCTGCACAGCATTCTTTTATTTGTTTGTTTTCTTTGCTGAAGACGTTAATCTGGCAATAAATTATTTTGCATTCTTCTGCTTAAAGGAACAGCTCCTACCTGTGTGTTAATTAGCGAGCTCTAGGTTGGTTTATTCTATCAGTGAGGAGTCTTGATCCACTGACGTTTCTGTTTTTAGTGAAGCGTCTTGACAGCTACACGATGGACAACCTGAGATGAGGTTCAGATGTTCACGGTGTTTCCCTCACGTTTCCCTCAAGCATCACCACCATGTTCTCGTTAAATGAAACTAAAGGATGATTGTCATAACATTTGGTACGTTCATACTCTAATAAACAAACGAGTTCAAAAGTGTAAAACGTGGTTTTCTGCTGTCACTAACTATCCGTACATGATGTTTCCGCTCACGCCACAAAACAAAGTCCACATGCTTCCAGCTGGTTTGATTCTTTATTGTTTCCATAAAATAAGAATACAATTATGTAGCCTATTAATACCCACTGCTCCCATCTGCAGTCATCTCATCATCTCATCATCGCATCGTGCCTCCACTTTGCGGTCAAAAAACGTTTTGCCTCGATCACCTGTCCTGAGTAACCGGGCAGTAAAACTTCCACCAGAAGCTGCCGGCGCCACCTGAACATCTATTGCAATGAAAAGAAATGAATAAACGAATACGTTAGTAAATTACATTCATATTTAGCAAACAACGCCTGATCTTTGCTGATTGAATGTTGTTCCAGCAGCCTCAGCATGTTAGCGTTAGCTGATGTTAGCATGCTAACATGCTTCACATTTAGAGCACAGCCTCAACAGCGCTCCTGATCTTCTCATCTGTCTTCAGAGCTTCAACAGAAGACCACTTGACTTCTCTTTTTGGCTCCTGAAGACGTCTCACCCCTTATTCAGGATTCATCTTCATTTTTTTGGGGTTTTTAAATATATTTTTTGGGCTTTTGCCTTTATTTTAGAGCGGTAGAGATAGACAGGAAAGGAGGGAGAAGAATGAAGAGAGACCTGCAGCAAAGAGTCGTGAGCGGGAGTCGAACCCACGACAGGAAGCTACAGCCTGTTCATGGGTCACCCGCTCACCTGGTGAGCTGTGGGGCGCCCTCGTCTTCGGTTGTAACTGACCCACTTATATTTCGTCACTTCCAAATCACACGGTTGCTGCCGCCCATCGGCCCGTGACCCGTATACCTGGAGGTGTTGATGGTTGTGGAACTGCAGGTCAGAGATGGTTTAAGATGGTGATGATGGTCAGACCTTCTGGAGAGAGATCTCCAGCCTGCGTTACATGTAAGTGATGCCACAGACACCCACTACTCATCAGATATCTGCTTAAATGATTAAAGAAACAGGTTTATGTGCTTTATTGCTGATTTTGATGAGGAGATGTCTTCGTAGATCTCAGTAATGGAGGTCATACTAAGTGCTTCAACAGAAGGCAGCTAGACTTCTTGAAGACATGCCGTTTCTGATTCAACAGACTTGTTTGGTTCTAATGATGGGGTTCACAAATCACCAGCTCATGGCCCGCCGATGATGGGTCTGGGACAGTACTGCCTTATAAGTACCTGATAAGTGTTGGGGCTCTACAACACCACCGAGTTATACGTCCTCGACAAACGGTGCCGTCCACGACACCACTGCTTTGTAAGTAGCTGATAAATGGTGGAGGTTTACAACGACAGCGTTACACATCCCTGATGAGTGGTGCGGGTTTATGACACTGCTGCCTCATAAGTGGTGACGTCTACAACACCACTTATCTGGTTCTTACAAAGCAGTCTTAGGAAGTTTCACCACCCTGAACATCTCGACTCATCTCCAACCTGGTGGTTTCAGCATTCACACCTGGAGTCAGGTGAGTCTTGGGTCATTTATGGACCAATAGAACCCTAATTTGGTGGTGACAACACATACCTGGGACCCTCAGTCAGTCAGTACCAACTGAAGAAGCCTCTTGGACGATGGTTCAAGAACCAAACAGAGGAGTCCAGTTCTACTGATTTAGGATTGCTGTGACCTGGATGACTGAGAATCTACAGACGTCTTCTTATCTAAATCAGCAACAAAGCAGCTAAGCCCATTTCTCCAGAACCTGAAACTATTCCTTTAACTTCAAACTGAAAAGCAGAGCTGGTTGTGTTTTATTTGATATCTGACGATTATAAAAATGTCAGTCTAATTTGTTCTTTGAAAAAGCTAAACGGTCAAATCGAGCTCCGAGTCCAAAGCCACAGGATCAAAGCTTCCTCTCCCAGCACGCCGGTTTTTCCATCAGCACAAAGGAGAACCAGATTCTGGGTTCATGTTCTGCTCTGAACGAGGGAACGCGCTGCATTTTCTGTTCACATGAGATTTCCTTAATGGAATGTCTTTATTGACTGTGGAAATAAAATGATGTCCAACCATTCAACATGTGATTATATTTTATTAGAAAAGAGTACTGCATGTTCCCCTGTGCCAGTCAGGCATTCCTCTGCAGGGAGTTGACTGGTTCTCCTCTGGAACCAAACATCTGTGCTTCTCACAGCTCTGTTTCATTACCCCCCGAAACACTAAACCCAGAAAATCAGCTTAAACACACTCAGGCATTTATTTTGAAAATCCCCACTACAAAAACTCAAAGGGTCTCGACTGAGCCCAGAGTGTGAAACTGGACACTGCTGGACGTGTTTAACAAATGCTGCCAGGAAGAACAACACACAGCTCGGGTCTGGAGAGATTTCGGATACATTCCTGATGCAGACTCGGAGCTGTGTGATTTTCTCAGTGTCACCGTGTTGAGCAAGAAACTCGACCTTCAGCGTTTCACCACCGAGCGGCTTGTGTTGCACGGCCCGCATGCATAAAGATGAGCTGCTGCAGCTGCAAAACGGAGCACGAAAAGTTAGATGTGGATTACTTTTTTAAAGGATTTGCTATTAGTGAAGACAAAAATAGAAAATAAAAGGATCTAATATGTCACTGTGGATTTCTTTGCTTGAAACCAGAGCCCTTTGACTCGTTATCAGCGTTAACAAAGATGTGTTGCAACCATTTGCACCTTTATAATCACAACCTCAGTCCACAGTTCTGCCTTTTTTTCTGAAAAATATCAACACTGACTTTGAAAAATGCTTTAGAAGATTTGCAAACTCATGCAACAGCCCACAATTATGCAGTGTTCCGTGTTAAAATCAGCTTAAAATATAAAAAAGACCCAAAAAGAGTATGTATTAGGAGCACTTTAGCTAAATGCTAACTTCTTTGTGTTACTGGGTTTTGGTCCAACTGACACAACAGGCAGCAAATTCAAATATTAATATATAAAATTTGTGAATTTGTGAATTTCTCCACTGTGAGATAAATAAAGGCATATCTTATCTTATCTTATAAAAAATACAATACTCCTGTTGATCCGAAATGCAATTTATAAAAAGATTTACGGCCACTTTTCCTAAAATAAAATCAGCTTAACCCTGAAAATTCAACCGGTAAAGATTCCCTCTGATGATTTTTAGCCTGAGGAGGAAATCCTTTAAATGTGTTGACAAGCGCAGCACCCTGGACAGCTCCCACGTCCCCGGATATCCCCGGATCAGCACCTTGGACAGCAGTTTGGCCCGCTTTGGCACAGAACGATAAAAACGATGCACCTGAGCTGCACGGGACGACACGAGGAAGCTACGTATCCGACACGCTGCGGTTTCCCAACTGTGAGGGTTTTATCGTTCATAAACGTGCTCCCACATGCACGGTTTCTTCTACGGTTGTTACTGCTGCTGTAATTTCTGCATTAAATTAAGCTCGACACATTTACTGTCGACGATCATGTGAGTGAAATCAGACACGAGGAAGCTTCTCGTCGGTCCGCGGGGCTCTACGATTTCCAGGGAAAGTTTGGTTTGGTTCCTCTGAAAATCGGACAAAACATCCATTCGGTTCCCACTTCAATAAAAGTCCAGATTATTTACTCAGAGGGTGTAGGTGAGCCGAGGCGTTTAACTGGACAAAATGAAAATAGGACCGACGGGGCAGGCTGCCAGCGCTCGGGAGGCGAAAAGCAAAAAAACACTCTTTGGCTCAGGTGAGACGATGACTTTGTCCAACATCTAACGAGGTTGTCAGGGCAGCTAGAGAAAATAATTGTTATACTGAAGTCTTTGAAACACACTCCTGCTGAACGAGTGGTGACGCTGATCGGATCCGACAATATTTGTTCTGCAGATTGAATCCGGTTTCTAGCTAAAGGTGAACCTGTGCAGCGGTTTCATTCCAACACAACCCAGTTGCTTAAAACGTCCATTTATTTCGTCGTACAGTAGTATCTCACAAATATTTACATAAAAATGTACATATCACCATCAATGTCTTCAAAATTAAGTATGAAAAGTCTGAAGGGCCCGTCGTATAAAAGCATTTACAAACATCCGATCTGAGGGTTCGACTTAGAAAAGTACCACCAGGTCTCTGACAACAAGCTGTGCTCCTGCGGTGGAAAGTTGTTCTCGGATGGTTTCTGGATTTTCAGACTCGGTCTCCTGAAGCTGTCTTTAATCTAGCGTGCCTGCAGAGAAAGATCAGAATTAGTACAACATGTTCTGGTGCAAAACGCGGCCAACGAGGTCCATTAAATGTGTACATATCTGCAGGAGGAAGCTCAACGGTTCTGTGTTCTTGTGTTGTGCGTGGAATTGGAGGTTGGTCACATTAAAAGCATAATGGACAGCAGTTAAATAAAGAATGTAATAAGTTGCATAGCTGAGTTATTGCACTCTCAGAATGTAATAAGTTGCATAGCTGTATTTATTTAATGATGATGCCGAGGATCTTGAGGAATTTTTCGTCGTCTCTGCGAGGCTTACCTTCGAGAAATGCAAACTCATCTATGGCCTCTATCGCGTTGTCTGTGGAGACAAGAGGACAGAGGGGGAAGGTTTTTACCGTCGCACCGTCAGCGCTGCACCAGCCTATCAGTGAAAGCGTTTATACTTCTGCACAATATGAAATCATCAGCTTTAGTGATAGAACCATGAACCGGCTCAGGACTGGAGAACGGTGGCAGATTTAGACCAGAGCTACAATCCACCAGCGTCAGACCAGATGTTCTGCTTCATCATGAAGCTCACAGAGGAGCATTCAGTGGAAGAAGCTGAAGCACACTGAGCTACAACACGGCTGCACAACAAAACCTCTTCATCGTGTTGTCGAGGTAAAGCCCTCCAACAGGCGTTCAAAGAGCTGAAGAGCTGCTCGCAATGGGAATCCGTCCAAGTGTCCAAGTATTCATACCGAAATCAAGTTGTTTTTTTTAATGAGCCTTTCAGGTGTGTTATTCTCGTAGATGAATCGCAGCAGCTGGACCTGCTTGAGTTCCTTGAAGACGTTCCACCTTCATCCAAGAGGCTTCATCAGCTCTGACTGACTAGTTCCAGATACTGATATCCTGAAGGAGCCACTAACACCTGAGTTTGGTTTTAATTGTGGGTTTGTTGCTCCTCCCCCTCGTTATGTGGGTCGTTAGTGCTCCCCTGCCACCGTGGGGTTCGTTAGGGTCTTTGTGGCTCGGTGTGGATGTGGTTGCATCTTCCTGGGGAGAGATCTTAGGACTGAACTGTAAACTGGTGAGAGATGACGCCTCAGACCTCCACCTCTGTTGAGGGATGGTCTTTCCAAAGACTGCTGCTGACGTCTTCAACGAACTCAAGCAGGTCCAGCTGCTACGATTAATCTATCAGAAGAACCAGGACCTGGAGGACTGAGAACCTTCACGGACATGTTTCGGTTGTGTTCTGAGCGAATGCAGCCGATGCAAGTGCAGAACTTTTATCCTGAGAACGAAACTCGATTATTAACTTTCCCCTTTTATAGATCTATCAAACAGACCAACCAGAGCCTGAAGACGCTCCTCCATCCTGAAGATCTGCTGCTTAGAGACGCTGCGACTTCTCAGCTAGCTTCACTGATGACGGACTTAAAGATGAAAGCAACACGGCGGCGGGTTTGTTCATCTGTGATCAGGTGTGTAGCCGCCTGTGCATCAAACCCGTCTCAGACAGAATCACCTGGATGTTTACATCAGCGCTACAAGAGAGGAAGTGGGTGAAACCGGCTTCTGGTGGCATTTAAGCAGCATTTTTCTGCCATTTAGAGCGAGCTGAAGCGACGACAATCTCCAAAGCAGCAGATCTGCAGCCATATTTAAACACTATTAAAGTAGCGCCGTCACCAAGTCCTCTCTTTATGAACACACACGAGCTAAAGTCAAGCTAAAACACATCTGCTGTCGCTCCCTGTAGGGCTGCTAATCGTCTAAATGCTGCACGCTAATGAATATCAAGCAGTTTTCATTAGTAGGTTGCAGCACTTTCAGCTGCATCGGACGACTTTTTAAAGGAAGACGTGTCCGTAGTCTGCTCAGTGAATCAGTGTTTAATAGAATAAAGCAGCTTAATATCCAGAACCACGACCTCGAGACCAAAGTACGCACCGAACCCAAACGTTAGCGCCGTGACTCCCTCGGTACTCGCTGACTGAAGAGACTAATCCTACGTTACAGACCTGAAGCACGGAGCGTCTTTAGCATTAAAACGATCTTCACATCACTCACCCAGATCTTTTCTTTGCAAAGTTTTCCTCTTCCCCTGCTGAGCGTACACCAGGGCGTCTTTGGCAATCATCTCCACAAACAACTCCTGCAAGAAAAAAACAAAAAAAATCAAACAAAAACTCATATATTCTGTTTAACTAATAGGAACATCTGATATTTTCCCACCAAAATTCACGAGAACCCAAATTCATCCACAAGAAGTAAGACCTGATTGTGAACAGTTCAGGAGGAGGCCTCGGGGAAGACCCAGGACACGTTGGAGAGATTATGTCTCTCAACTGGCCTGGGAACACCTAGGGGTCCCCTTGAAAGAGCTGGAGGAGGTGTGTGCAGATCGGGAAGTCTGGGCGGCTTTGCTAAGGCTGCTGCCTCCGAGACCAGATTCCGGATAAAGCGGAGGAAGATGGATGGATGTGAACAGTTCATTTCATGTTCCTTTCATTTCTGTTGTCATTTAGTACAAACACAACATTAACGAGGTTCCGTCTGTGAGCGGACTTACCATCTATTAAGGGTTAACTGTTATAATTTTAGCTAAAAAGTCACACAGCTGGACATCAGAGCTCCAACATGCTGCTGGCATCACGTCATGGAATAAGTTTCTAGCAAAGCCTTATTGGATGCATGTTCACACGGTTACCAGAAGCGTTGCAGGCTGAGACGCTTTGGTCCCGATTGGTTTAGTCAATTCTAAATTAAAACGGAAACAAGAGCTGCACGATGTTTAGTTTCAGCATCAACACTGGGAAACGTGAAATAAGCCAAATGACCTCAAACACATCACATTACACCTTTTTTCCCGCCTGCTTGATAGAAACAGAAAACTTGCATGATTCTTGTTTTCAAAGACTAATTTGCAGGACGAGTGCGTCTGACAGATCATCATTTACTGTAAAGGCTCTTGGACACGCTGGGTTTTCTTGTCGACGTGCAGCCTCCACATCTGCAGACCGAGCAGGAGAGAAACACCGAAAAGCAAGATTCGGTTGCAAGAACATCAGTCGTACGAACATATTTCAGCTGCCGAGAGGATGACGCCGACCCAAAACAGGTACTTTGTTGGCAGCGCCTCTCAGATGTTTGAGCGTTTAGATCAGCAGCACAGAGCTCTGAGCGATGAGCCCACAGCCAGATCTGAACAGCACCTAAATCATAGAGCTGGTCTGGATCCAGAAAGGTTCCAAACGACGTAGCTGCTAATTAACAAAGCTGCCAAAGAGGGGTTTAAAAACATGATCTCATTACTTGACAAGCAGAACACGATAGAGTCACGCAGCTGGTTTTCAGTGAGACACGAGTGAACGCCGTCACAGCTGCAGCAAACCTGCGGTCCAACTGGACGCTGGAGTTCTGTTTGGGTCTGATTGTCCACTTTATTAATGCTGCTCCAGTCGATCGTACAAGTGAGAGCATCAAGTCTGTTTAGGATCAGACACAAAGCTGCTGTATTCACTCCAATGAAGCGTCCAATAAAAAAAAGACAAAAACAACAACAGTCACTCAAATAACTAGAAACTGAAAAAAGTAAAAATAAATAAAAATTTGCTAAATTATAATTTAGTGAAATAAAACGTTGCTTTTCAATTCTGGCTGAAAAGAATAATTGAAAAAAAAATCCTGGACAAATTAGAGCAGTTTGCTGATGAGCAGTGGGCCAAAAATACCTGTCAACAGGTGCAGAAGTTTTCTTATATATATATTTCTGTTGAACCACAACTCAATTTTTTTTTAAATGTATTATTACTTTTGTCAGTTTCAGCTTATTCCAGTGACTGAAGCTGTTTTTTCCTCTTTAATGGGAGGCTGTGAACACATCTGAGGACGGCTGCAGCTGTTTAACTCAAAAACTTGTCCTGAAAATGCATTAATCATTTTAATAAATGTCATTTTTATAATCAGTTTATTGTTAAAGGCATTTCAGACTGAAGGCCACGTTGCTGAGGGGTTCAGCGATGATGAAGGATGCAGACTTTACTGTGGGTTGATGTGAGAACACGTGGCCTTAATGTGAGCTTTAAACACCTCTGGATGATAAGAGATTTACCAAATCGCTCAAATGCTTCTAGAATTATTATTTTCTCTATAAAAATGTGAGATATTCAGACATCTGGGGAACTCCTGTAGTTTTCTATCACTTCATATATCGCAGAAAAACAACATCTAGCAAAATATGTTTTCCAACATCGTGCAGCCCCGATAGAAATAAGATATTAATCACTTATAATAACGATATAATAAAATGCATGAAGCTGAATTTCATCCCAGTGTCACATGTTTGCAGCACACAGTCTGTTAGTGTTCATTTTATTTTATTTTTATTGTATTTTATTTACCGTGGCTTTAGCGATGATGAACACGGACTCCTGGCTGGCCAGAGACACGTCCGGGTCGGTCTTCATCAGCGCCTTGATGCGGGCCAGCGGCAGCTTGGAGAGCCGGCTGTGGCTCCCGGCGGCCCCGGGGCCTGTCTGCTGCGGCTGCCCGCTCTCCTCCGCCTCGGCCCCGCGGCTCTCCTCCTCGCTCCCGCACCGGTCCGGGTCGTGCTCCGTCGGGGTGACGGGCGTCGCCACCGTCGCTGCCATTTCGTTTTTAAAAAATAAATATTCTACACAAACGTTAAGTTTCCAAAAAAAAAACCGAACCACAGAAGCGTCTCCGGGTGTTTTCAGGCTACATGTCCCGGTCCATAACAACATCAGCGGCAGCAGCGCGCCAGCATGTGCTTCCGGGCTTCGGTGAGGCCGCGCCAACTGGTCCTCGTCGCTGATTGGACGGAGCGTGACTCGGAGCTCTGCTATTGGCTAGAAATAGACGCCCATCAAAGCGGGTTCCCGCCTCGGACGCCAACGTGCAGCGTGATGTGGAAATGTCAGGATGGAGGTGACGGAGGCCACAAACCAGGGTGATGTGGGATAAAAACTGAAATGTTTACCGTTTAGCTTAAGTAACTAGATTTTTTTGGCGAATTATATTTACAGAAAATGCACAAAACCCAACATTACTCCCGGTGTGTCCACTGGGGGGCAGTAGAGAGCAGCTGTAAACACAACGCTGCACCTGTGGGGCTCCTTTCAGACCACCTGGATACAGAACAGTACTGGTTTATTAGAGTCAGTCACACAGAGGTCACTTCACCTCAACGCTCCTCATGGCTTCAGTCAGGCATCAACTAGCTCTGGACAGTTATGTATGTTTTTATTTCATAAATGTAGGTTTTAAACTTTATTTATTTTAATGTTGTGGATCCTCAGGTGGGATGTTTGCTATCTAAGAGAGCTACAGGACATCAGGCGAGCTCTATCGCATCATAAAGCAGCAACAAAAATAATAAAAATACATCCACAGAGCTTCACAAATGTATTCGACCACCACTCAGTGTCAGGTTTACGCCACAGTGGCTCTAAAGTAACAGCACTGGTAATTACTTTAATCATTTCTTCTGTTTCTGTGATGGTTGATACGCCTGTATGTAGAAGCTCTTTAACCAAAATGATGTTTTTGATGCTAAAATATAATTATTATTGTTATCCATGAAGTTTCAAATTAAGAGTTTACAAAAAAACTGTAAATCACATGATTATTTCTTGATTGAGACGTCAAATTATAGTTATTTACTTGATGCTTGATTAATTTCTGACTCCTCAGAGAAGCCCAGTGGCTCAGATTTGGGTATAAAACGGTGAATTCAGTTGGAAGTTCCTCATTCCTGTTCAAAATGGTAAAACATAGAGAGCTGAGAGAATTAAAGCACTTTCTATATATACACAGTGCTTAACATAATGGACAGGTGGTCTAATAGGTTAGTTAAGCGCTGTGTAGCTTTTAAAACCATCCAGATAACTAACATGCTGGTTCATGTGACTAAAACATTCTGTCCATGTGTGATAACAATCTACCTGCAGCTTTTAAAATTAAAAATATTCCGAGGGCTGCGGTGGAGTTCAGGACTCGTGAGGACGACCGCCGACATGTCACAAGTCATTTAAGTTCAGATTATAAGCCGTACCTGTGAAGAGAACACAGTGTGACCGGGTCCTGATCCATCCTGTCTCCATGTCGGGGATCATTTATAATTATAAGTAGGTAACGAAGTTAGCGGGGCTTCTTGTTGGTGAATGTATTCTGGTGTCTCTGTGCAGAGACGCTCACATGGATCCTGCTGCCGTCTGAAGCTGCTCAGAGGAAAAACTCCAACAAACAGCTGGAAGCAAGCAACACACTGAACTTCAGCACCGGTTCATGTTCGCTCTACAAGCAAATAAATGGATTTCATTCATCGTTGGTGAGTGTCATTCATCTTTTATTTATTTTAGTTTTATTTTCATGAGCATTTCTGTTTTGTAATAGATGTGAAGCTGCAGAGTGAAGCGAGTGTGAAAGGTGAACTCTGTCTTCAGGTCTCTGTGGTGATTCTGAACCAATGTTGGAGCTGAAATGTGGAAAAATCCGTCCACAGGCGCCTTCACAGAACTCTGAGTGCTGCTGCTTGCTTCTGTTCTTTAATGTGACTGCATGTGGTTCAGACTTCTGCTGTGTCCAAAGTAAGACTGTCGCAGCAGCTTTTACAGAGCGGTGATGAGGACGTTCGCTCAGACACGAAGCCGACGTGTTCAGCTGTCGTCAGGTTAACGGAGGGAGTGCAGGTCTGCAGTCGTTGGTGGTGAACTTGGAGTCAGACTATTAAGCATTTAAGCTCCATTGCATTTCTTTAGAGTTCTGTTTCTGGCTGCTCGATGAATGCAACAGTCAGTTTACTTTTAGCTCGGTTTGGGTCTCCACCACGCTTCAGGAACACATTCAAAATAAAAGTCGAGAGCTGCAAACCGAAACAAAATGAGCAGAAAGATGTTAAAATGCTGCATAAAACTGAAGCAAAGTCCGCTGATGACTGTTTGTTCTTCACCATAATTTAAACTTTTATCATGCACATAGTAAAAAGATCCACTGTTGATATAAAATATTGATTATAGCAGCTTAGATAGTAGCTGTAGTCTCATTTATTGGTTAAACTGCAAAACAGGAATAAGATGCAGCAACTTCCCAAATTATTTCTAAAAGGTAAAGTTTCTTGTTTTCTGTGTTTTCATGCTAAATGCATTTTTAAATGTTAAACAGAGTTGGAAGATCTAAATTCTGCTCCATAAACATTAAAGACACGTTTTTATTTACAGTATTTGTCTGCAAGTCACAGTTTTTATACGTTTTCAAAGAAGAAAATGTCCTAATTTGCAGGTAGCTAGAGTTCAGTCCAGTGGCAGTCCTATAAAAATACAGCATATCAGTGAAACGTCTGCTCAGTTAAACAGTAAACCTCGTGTTTTTATCGTTTGTTAATTATTCATACAGTTTAGGTAAATTACAGCAGAAACACTGTAAAAAATACTCCCAGATAAATGAGCTCCAGCGTATGAAAGTGAACATGAGACACGGTTATTTAACTCTGTGAAAATGCGTTTGCAGTTTCCATTGTGTCACTGTGTGTGAGGAGGCAGTGAGCAGGCCACTAATACGCCCGTTAATAGGATTGAGGAGTCCTTTAGTCCTCTGAGGCTCCATTCACATGTTCAGTCACAGGCAGGTGCTGCAGCCTGAGAGGCGACATGAAGGACCCGCAGCTCCCAGGTAAACCCACCTGCTCTTCACTCTTATGTGATTTAACTCGCTGCAGTTCTGTAAAAATACAACAAATACAGGCTCATAAATCGTTTATTAATGTCTTACATCAGGTATATGTTTAACTTCTATCATTTATCAGTACGACGGGCGGTTTGTCTTTTTACTGCATTGATTATTTTTTTTAAAAATCCTCCATTAATTAACATTCATTACTGTGGACTTGTTGGTTCATTATAACCAAAATAAAATCCCGTATGAGCATCTATTGGTTAATAGGTCACCAACTTTGATAGCGGCACCGCTCCTGTTGATGCCTTATTTAAAGCACTATTAAACCGTTCATTAGTGAACCTGCAGTGGCCTGTTTTACCCTGTAAAGATAAATTATGGCTGATTCACCACTGAATCACTCATTTACTTATTTAGGAAATAAAGCAGCATTTTGCAGCTGATAAAGCTGTAAATACTCACTGAAGATGTTTTTCTCTTAGTAATTACATTATTACATTTGTTAATTAGGTAAAGGAGGTGTATTTTATATATACAGCATACACTGTAAACAATAAAAAAATAAAATAAAATAAAATTTAAAAAATGTGGTAGCAAGGAGGGCGCCAGAAAAAACATATTTCATAAAAGCAGAATCCTTTAAAACTCAAATTCTAGTAAATTTGATAGAAAATATGTTTAAACGAATGTTTTGCCTTTGTTTTAGCAGATTTAAATGCTGTAGAGAATTTTTAAAAATGTGTTATTTTACAGTCAAACATTGTGGAAAACTAATTAACATTTTTAAAATTAAAAAAATAAAACATAAAAACAAAACAGAACCTGGAGGTTAAAAGAGTAAAAAAAAATCTTTTTAATCTTTTTATCCTGAATGCAACGAGTTTTCTTTTCAAACAAATGTTTTTAAAAAAAGAAAAACATTTTTTTTTAGCTGATTTAAATTCGGTAAAAACAGTGTAATGTTAGTCAGACAGTAAAAGAATTCATGACTTTTTGCCAAAATACAGAATTTTGATGTGAATATTTTTCTTTACAGTTTTTTGTTTTTACAGCAACATGTACATTTCTATTTTTTTTGTGATTTTACTTGTCAGCAGGAAGAACATGTAACACATGACAGTAAAAGTGAAAGAATTACAGTTAAAAGCTGTTAAAACATTATTTCTTTTACCGTGTACGTCTTTGTAGATGCACACACCAGCAAACATGTTCACACAAGTTCAATCAGTAGAATCATGTTAACGAATGTTTATTTCATCAATGTCGTGCTGAAACAAAAGCTGACTCTAATAAGCATTTCCTGATGAGTTAAATGGCCTGCAGTGAGTCTGTCTGTCAGTCTGGTCTGCCTTCATTAGTTTCCTATAAATAGCCTTTTTACACTCACAAATGACCCACTAATGCTCTAAAGGCAGCCAGTAATCCAGGCCATTCTGAGAACCGAGCCCGAGATCAGATAAATTTAACCCACAGCGACCAGGAGGAGGCAGAGTGTCGCTAAACTTTAGATTTACTCCAGTTTCATATCAGAGTTCATCATCGGCTGTTCATCATCGGCTGCTTTATCGTTTATCGGACTGATTCATCACACGTGTGGTCATTTACGGCGATTATTTGTTCTCCTCGAGACGCCCACACAGGACTCAGACAAACTGACACCTGACCCCGTTGTCGTCCGTCTTTATGCAACACAATCAGGAGTTTCCTGTAAAAACAACTGGAGCAAGGTTAGCATGAAAGCCAGCACGTTGTCCCGCTGGAGACGAATGAAGAGAAAATTTAAAAGGAAGGAAAAAAAAAAGAATCTTAACAAGCGTTTCCAAAGACTTCCCAGAACAGCCCAACAACAGGAAACGCCGTCGACGTATCCTGCTTTTGTCCTTTATCAAAAAATGAAAACATGCAAGTTGGAGCTGATTTAACGAGATCCAAAAGTATATATCAGCTGTGGAGATCTGCAGAACTAATATGAGGGTAGATCCTGTAACTGGATATGACATTTTTATGGTGCTTTTATTACTTCATTCAGTGATTTATTTTGTAAAACTTTTCACAGGTTTAACTGTATTTTCTCCACTTTTGCTTCTTCGATGTGTTTTCTCTGTTCCTGATTTCCTTTTCCTTTTTTACAAGCACAGTCATTATTAATACTATTACTATGATTATAAGCTTCCCCTGCAGACCGCTTACATAAACGCTCAGATAAGAGGTGATGTAAAAGGCTAGACGGTTATATGGGATCAAGTAAGTGGACATTGAGGGTAATCTCGTTAGCGGTGGCCTCGCTACCTGTCTGCTGACTCAGAGCAGCGAACAAACACTCCAGAGCAGAAAACAGCCACAACACTGGGACTAAAAAGTGCATTTACTGTCATAGTTCTGCAGGTCCACGCAGTAAAACGGTGCCGCCGCCGCCTCAGTTCTGAGTCAAACTCCTTTTATTTCTCGGTTTTCTTTCCAAGCCATCAAAACGCGACTCTGGCAGAAGCAGAAGTTGAGCAGAAAACCCAACGATGAGTCTCCAAAGGGCGAGAAGTCAGCGAAGCCCTCGTCGTCCTCAGCAGCAGCTTCTGTGCCGCCGCTGAGCGAAGCAGAGAGGATGAACCAGACCCCGTTTGAGAGGGTCGTCTACGACATGGCCCACAACGAGAGGATCATCAACGAGATGATGCTCGGCAGGAGGGTCGGCTTCTACGAGCTGCGAGGGGAGATCGGCCAGGGCAACTTCTCCACCGTCAGGCTGGGCGTCCACACCTTGACTAAAGGTCAGAGGTCCAGAGTTAGTCGTGTTTAGTCAACATTCATTCAACGGTTATTCAAACTGGGAGCACGTTGGGGCGGGAAGGCCTCGTTTATTGAAAGAAAATAAAAGAAATAAATCTGGATTACATCAACAATAAATGTCTAAAGGCACATTTAGTAGATGTTTTAGTTTTAACAACAAACTAATCGACTAAAACGAGAACAAATGGACGGAAAATAAGATTAAAATAAAAACCTGAATCGCCCCAAAAATACAAAAACAAGAAAATGGTCTTCATGATGTTCCAGCTTATAGGTGTAGAAGATATAAGTTAAGATTAAATAGATAAGATACAACAAGAGATGTTAAGTTTTGCTAAGTTATAATAAAATAAGTTAAATTAGTTTGAGCTAAGTTAAAGTTAGGTTAAGCTAAAGTTAAGTTAAGCTAAAGTTAAGTTAAGATACGATGAGTTAAGTTCAATTCAGTTTTGATGATAAGACAAGACACGTTAAGTTAAATTAAGCTGAGTTAAGTGAAAGGCCAGTTAAACTAAAGTTAAGTTAAGCTAAAAAACAATAAGTAAAGTTAAGTTAAATTAAATTAAGTTGTGCTAAGTTACAGTTAAGTTAAGCTAAAGCTAAGTTAAGATACGATGACATATGATGAGTGGAGTTCAGTTCAGTTCAGTTCTGATGAGACATGTTAAGTTAAGTTAAGCAAAGTTAAGGTTAAATAAGATAGAATAAGTTAAGATAAAACTTTATATTGCTCAGAAAATAAAATGACACAACATGAGAAAACACAGTGCTTATAATAGAAAAACAAGAGGACCAAAGTAATAAGTTTTACTGAAAATAAAATGAGTAAGCTAGAAAATGACAACGATAGAAAAGCAAGAAGTGATACTGAGGCAGGAAAGTAATGTGACGCTTGAAAAACGACATATTTGACCTAAAAACAGAAATATTGGACGTTGCATTGACAAAATATTTCCCTGAAAGCAATAAAACATGAAACCAAGTCAGACATCAGATTATTTCGGTGTCCAGGTTTAGTAAAAACAGCCGATACCTGCAGAGTGATCCAATCATTTGAGCGTCTACGGTAAGAAGTCACATTTAAAACACTCAGTGAGGGAATGAAAGGGGGTAAAAATCCAGTAAAAGCTTTACAGATAAATAAGAATGTGTGACTGTCACATCTTACAGACATTTTTTTTCCTTTTTCCTCTAATTGATACGAGCGCCGGTTTGGCTGGCAGACCCGACACTTCCTGTCTCCTCCACTTATTGTCTTTATGTTTCTTGGACGGATGTAACTGTGAATGGAAATTCTCTGTAAGGGATCAATAAAGTATTATTATTGTTATTGTTCAGCTCATGGTGGTGATTATTAAAGCTATCAGCAGCTTAATGCAGCTGATGCATTAATAAAACATCACCATAGTCCGACACTTTTTTACGTTTTCTTTCCGTATTCCAGAGTTTTGACCTTCGGGGGGGCTGTAGTTGTGAATAAGTGCTGTTGCATGTTTGTGAATCGTTTTAATGTCAGAAGCTGAAACCTGAGGTCCTGAATGAGCCCTTCTGATCGCCCACAATCCTCCAGACCTCATGCAGTGAGTTTAGTTTCTGCTGAGCAGGGTTACACCTGCATGCTGCTGGGGCTCTGTGCAGGTTTGCAGGGGGGCTCCTGGTCTGAGCCACATTCCTGTCATAGTTCAAATAATCCTGCAGCAATCCTGCAATTAAATCAGCTGCCAGAAGTGAATTCCTCATGTAGCATCCATCTGCCTTTGCTGGTTTTTGTGTTTAAGTGACCTTCACCTCGTCAGACCCTCTTTAACCTGACAGCCTCCCTCTTTCTGCCTCAGAGAGAGTCGCCGTTAAAATCGTGGACAAGGTGCGTCTGGACAAGAAGAAGCAGGCGTTCACGTCGTCCGAGATCGGCTGCATGGAGAAGCTGTGCCACCCCAACATCGTTCGGCTCTACGAGGTGATCGAGAGCAGCCGGAAGCTCTACCTGGTGATGGAGTACGGCAGCGGCGGGGACCTGTTCTCCAGAATCACCACCAGAGGGAAGCTCGGCGACCTGGAGACCAAGCTGGTGTTTGCACAGGTCGTGTCCGCCGTCAAACACATGGTGAGCTGTGAATGTTGTGACTGCGTTGATGTGAGTGGCGGCCAGTCGAGAGGCGACAGGAAGGAGGGGAAAGAGGGATAAACATGGAGCAAAAGCTGAACTCAGACTTTATAAAACACATTCAGAGCAGCTGAGTTATTTCCAGAACACTCAGAAATGATGCTCAGCTAACAAACTACAACGAGTTTGAAGCTTTTCCTCCATAATCAAAGGTAATGTTAGTAACACCGAGTGTGTCAGACACATGCAGCCCACAGATAATCCACCACGGATCAGATATTCATGCATCTAAAAGGCCGGATGTAGCAAAAATTATACAAATTAAAACTCATATATGCAAATTTTTATACAAACTTTTCCCCATAATTTGTCAGAAGGTTCAATAAACACTCCAGTTTTTAAAAAAAATAGAAAATATTTCATGGTTCAGGCTTTAATTAGTCGCATTAATAAAAGTTTTTCGTCGTTGGTGACTCAAATAAAACATGTTATTTAAAATGATTAGTGTTATTTACTTAATTAACATTAGCATTAATAAGTTATCAAGCCTATAAAGTGTGAATTTAGTTATAAATTAACCAAAGCAGAAGGTTTAAATTACACATAATGTTAAGTTGATGCCAACATTATTATGACAGTGTTATGCTGGTGTGTTTTTAAATCGGATAAAAATATCATGAACAACAAAGCATCCAGTTTTTCTTTGGATGTTTGTTTTGTTTTTCTTTTTTACATTGTGGGCAAGATTTATTTTTCTATGACCATGTGTGCATCATTACAAGGTTCAGGTTTAAACCTACAGGCCTCCAGAAGGAAAAGGATTAAATTACTGATGCAAACAAATTATCTGTTGTTGCTATAATAATAATAATAATACTGAGAAATAATCTTTTACTATTTCAGACAATCAGTGGCAAACACAGAGTGGAAGGTGAAGAAAGGCCGTTGTTGTTGTTGTTGTTGTTTACAGAATAATGTGTGTTTTTTTTTTTTTTATGCTTTTTTATTACAAAGCTGCAGCGATGTTGGGAGGGACATGCAAACTCCCTCAGTGTCATGATGCCTTTTTTCATCTTAGTTCAAGTAAAATGACGCTGACCCTTCCCGTCCACCTCTGTGTGAATTTCAGCACGACAACAACATCGTCCACAGAGACATCAAGCCCGAGAACATCTTCTACACCACCAGCTACTGCATCAAGATCGGCGACTTCGGCTTCAGCACGGAGAGCGGCGCTAACGAGCTGCTCACCAACTTCTGCGGCTCGCCCCCGTACGCCGCTCCGGAGCTTTTCAAAGACAAGTGTTACTTCGGGCGCTACTCGGACATCTGGGCCTTGGGGATCCTCTTGTACTTCATGGTGACGGCGACCTTGCCCTTCTACGGCGACAGCATGGGCAAGCTGAAGCGCTGCATCCTCCAGGGCTCCTACGCCATCCCAGCCTACGTGCCCGATCCCTGCCAGCTGGTCATCAAAGGCATGCTGCGGCCGGTTCCGGTCGACCGAACCCCCCTCGCAGAGATCATAAACAGCGCTTGGCTCAAGGGGATCGAATACCCTCAGCCTTACGTGCCGCTGCCGCTGTCTCCGGCCCGCTTCGCTCAGCCCGACCAGGCGCTGTGCGTGGAGGAGCAGGAGGTGAAGGATCTGATGTCGGATCTGGGTGTCGTGACGGTTCACTTCCAGAACAATCCCTGCTTGGACGGCAGGAGCCCGCTGACGGGAACCTACCGCATCCTCCTCCATCGGGTCCAGAAGAGGAGGTCGGTGGAGGGCGTGGGTTATTCTGTGCTGCACCCCGACGAGTACAAGTGGTCCGCGACGGCTGTGGACAAACACAACCCCACTGCTGTATGCGTTGTGCTATAACCAGAAACCGATGGCTCTACTGCGAAGAACTGAGCCTGAAGTCAGAGTTTTCGGTCTTGTAACCTGCTAGGTCGCCATGGTAACTGATGCTGCACAGCTGACCTGCTCTGGAGGACGTCCTGTTCGGGGTTTGGGGTTTAAATCAGCTGTGAGAAGCGTCTCCCTTCACCGATTCATGATCCAGATCCTCAGCTGATCTGCAAACCTGCTGAGCTGAATGTTGAACGAAGCCTTGCAGCGACGCCACTGGTCCCCTCCATGCATTCAGCAGAAACAGCATCAATACGTGTCACTGTTGGACCAACTAAAATAATTGCTTCAATTGGTTTAAGTTCATCCAAATTACATTAACGAGTCATAGAAATGCCACTGGGTTGAGTTACTTCAGGAAAGTCAACTTCAGGTTTCTAGTGTTTCCAACTTATGTCCATCCATCCATCATCTCTACACCTTAATCCTCACTATGGGGGGCTGGAGTCTATCCCAGCTGACTCAGCGTGAAGGCAGGTTCACCTGGACAGGTAACCAGTCTATCACAGGGCTACACTTAGAGACAGACAACCAAGCACACTCACATTCACACCTACGGACAATTTACAATCACCAATTAACCTCAACATGTTTCTGGACTGTGGGAGGAAGCCGGAGAACCCGGAGAGAACCCACGCTGCACGGGGAGAACATGGAGACTCCACGCAGGAAGATCCCGGGTGTCCTCACCGGGACACCAACCGTCTAGCTGCGAGGCAACGGCGCTAACCACCGAGCAGCCCCGACTTATGTATGTGCTCTGCTAAAATGTAAAACACGATCTTGTCATTTGACATTTTCCTTTTCTTTACTCTGTAATGGGGCGGTTGAGTTCCTTCTTTACTGCTAACAAAGCAGTAAACCTGATTTTGACATTTCTGCAGAAATTAGAATTCCAGTTTTAAAGGATAATTTGTCATTTCAGTCAATAGAATCCATATATTCCAAAAACCTGCCGTTACCAAAACAGAAAGATGATCAACAGATACACCGACTACAGCTCAAATACATTATATTTGTTCCTGATTTGCTCCTAACTCTGTTTTACTGTGCTGTTGTTGCAGCTAATAGAGCAGAGGTTAGAAGACGTGTTAGTCTGCTGCCATTAATCCCACAGAATATCCAGTTAATAACATTAATTTAACTTTGATTTGGCCAAATGGATTTCTATGCCTCCTTTATTTTTGTACAGACCTAAATGCACTCCTTGGGCACCGTTTTTAAATGTATGAAATACAAAGTTAAAGAGCGCTAATGTGCAGCTGTAGTGTTAGAAACTAGAAGCTCCACTGAGAGCGAACCAAGTAGCAAAATTAGAACAATAACTTCACCAGTTGTCTACCAGCTTTCCTCGCTTTCATTATTTGTAGTGTCGCTTCTTAATGTTATATTCCTACATAACGACAGAAGTAGGTGCCGCTCAGTTTCAAGCAGAAGAAAAGTCAGATGAAGAAACAAGAAGGAAGCCTGGTGAGCAAAGAGAGTCGAGGCAGTCGTTGAAGCTCGGAGGAAGCCTGGCGAAGCTGAACTGGCTTCGTGGTGCGTCCCTCTGCGCTGGACGGCTTCGGTTGTCATCACATGTGCTCATCGGCTCACCGACGCTCGTTCATTCGCTTCAGGCTCCGTTAATCCGTGTTTATGTGAGATGTTGGACCTGGAGGCCGAGGTCAGAGCGGGGCTCAGGTCAATCAGTGTTAATGGACTAGGGCGCGTCTCTGCGGTAATTAGCCGCGGCTTTCCCTCCTCGTTACATCACCGAGGTCCCTGACGCAAAGCATCCATTAATCAGTGAATGACCATCAGCATCTTCCAATCCCTCTTAGTCAGAGTATGAATCTTCTGCAGTAATCCGAGGCTACAGGTAATCCCCACAGGAGAGACACGCTCGCTAAACCTGCAGAGGAGGAAATAAAACAACATCTCCAGAGACTTTAGAAAGTAAAATTCAGGCCACAGATTGGATTTAAAACCTTTGTCGTGCTCTTGTGTGCTTTAACCACATTAAACACCTAAAATGCCTTCACTGTGGTTCTAAATGCAGTAAATCTTCTGACAGGAATGTCTGAAGCACAAACGTTGTCTTGAATTTTGCACAATTTGAGTCTAATTTTCTTTGTTTGCTTAAGGGCAATGTTTAATGCGTGCTTCGGCGCTGCTGGTCTGAACTTACTCTGTCAAAACACAGATTTATTATCAATCAGAATAAAATCATTTTTAATTGTACGCTGTCTCCTCTGTGTTGCTTTCAACTGGACTCCCTCTTCTGCTCCAGCAGGAGGCATGTTATTACAGGCTAGTGTGATTGCCTCTTTCCAGATTTTCAGTGTTTATGAAGGATTCCTGCTGGGCGTTGTGTGATTTTCGTGTTTACTTGTAAGTCTCCGAAGTTCAAGACAACTTTGACTCTTGAGCAACTCCTCTGGGATCGATTTTGGAACAATCTCAAGTACTTTCCGGAAAAGAGCTCACGATGAAATATGAAGCATTTGTGAATTTTCTCGGCCCCTTCGAGACTGTGACAGTGAAGCTTCTCACACTTCGCCTCCCCTCGTTCCCCTCCAGGGTACAACAGCCTCCCTGAACCAGGCCTCGCTCGTTCCTTCTTACCGTCACCTCGTAATTTAGCGCCAATTTCTGCCAGTGCCTGCACGCACCTGCTGTGCCTCTGATCGGCGATTGGCAATGATAAGCTTCATGTGTTGCAATAAAAGGTTGGGAGCCCTCATCTTGCAGCCTGTTCACACAGGAATGTGTTCTCTTTGTGTGGGGCAGGAGCAGACAGAGAATGACTTATCACAGGCCCAACGCCAGCCAAGAACGAAGTCCCGACTTGCTGTTTATTTAGGTTGTTGCTCAACATAATCGGTGTGAAAATCCCTTTTATCATGTCCTCTAGGACGTGCATCATCTGCAGAATCCTCCATCCGACTGATTAGAGACACAGTGAGTAACGTTCAATGTGACCAAATGCAACACCTGAATCCAAACAGGTGTGCAGAGGGGAGCTTGTGCATGAGGCAAAGTCAGTGCACCCTAAAAAAAATCACGTCTGGCTGCAACAAACCAGACGAACGCAACAGTTTGCATCAGTCTGAGTTGTGACAGCTTCTAATTAAGTTGTGTTGAACCAACAAACTACACAGAGTTAGTGGAATTATCTGTTCCTCCTCCGGTTAAAGGGATTTTTATTTATCAAACTTAACCATCTGAAACTATCCAGATAGAGGAGGAGACTTAAAATCCTGAACTCAAGGCGAAGAAAATGCATTCACCCAATTACATTAAATCACCTCAACTTTTAATCCTCTCCTGAAGCTTCAGTTTTTGTTTCTACTGAAAGACTTTAAATTATTTTCCAGACTGTGATGCTTTACACCAGGGGTGTCGACATCCGGTCCTCGAGGGCCACAGTCCTGCATGTTTTAGATGTTTCCTTCTTCCAACACACCTGATTCAAATGATCAGGATCGTTATCAGACTTCTGCAGAGCTTGATGATGAGCTGATCATTTGAATCAGGTGTGTTGGAAGAAGGAAACATCTAGAACATGCAGGATTGCGGCCCTCGAGGACCGCAGTTCGACACCCCTGCTTTACACGCCTGTATTGCTGCAATCATGAAGCTTTTAAGTTTGCAAATTCCAACACTTTAGTTGCTCCAGTTTAAGAAGACGTGAAGGGGACGAGAAATCCAGACCTCAAGGTGGGAAAAGAAAATCAAGTTATCCAGCAAATTTAGTTTTAAATCAACAGATATTTACTCACGATAGTAAGTTGAAGTAATTGACAACGTTTCACTGAATTTTCTTTGACTTGCAGTTGAAGTAATGAACCTTCTCGTTTATCTTTCTCGTTTGCTGACGACGCTCTACTCTTCCTGATTGCATCAACCTAAAATTACACTCTGTTCCTTTAAACTGTTGTAATTGCAGTGAAATATTAGTTTTGCTGCTCCTTCAGGTTTGTGCGTCTGACGTTCCATCAGTTCTTTTGTGCTGCAGCTCAACCTCTGTTTTCTTCCAGCAGGATGACAGAATAAAGAAAAGCAAATAACGGTGAGTCTGATGGAAAAATCCTATTCTACATGTTGTGTGTGGGCAAAGCAGATAAATTAGAAAACCTTCAGTTGATTTACCTTAAAATGAAGTTGCAGTTGGATTCATTTGAGAGGAATCAGATGATTTAAGTCGATCTAACCTGAACCGGTTTCATTAATATAAACAGAAGCTTATTTCAGTTGCATGTTAGCACGTGAACAAATTAATTTAAGTTGGTCCAATAATCCCCCCTCCCATTTTTTTTTTAGTGTAATAACCTTTTCAACTTGACAGGTTTGTCTTAATCAATTAATTGGTTTGTCTGACACTCGTATATTAAATTAAGTGGTGTGAAAAGATTCCTTTGGTTCAGACTAAATCATTTAGATGAATCACTGAAGCATCACTCAGCTTCATCTAACATCAACAAACCCTCCCTTAAGCTAAACCGCAGACTCTGATCAGACAATCGCTTTGTTGTTTTACTGTTTTTATTCACAATTTTACATCATCTTCACCATTTTTTTGTTTTATTAGGCACGTATGTTCACCACAGAAGAGCTCAGTATGAAACCTGATCACTTTCTCTTCTGTTTGTTTTTTCCACTTGTTGCCTCCATTCAAACCGGGCCGGGTTTTACCTTTCCTTACCCTCTGGGATCATCACGAGGAGCCAAGACATCGACTGTACAAGCAGGCTCGCATTTGTTTGTGTTTGCATTTGGCAGCGAGGGAGCAGCTTTGAGCTCTGGATGAATGACAGATCTGTTGGGTTTACAAAAACAAACTGGAGATGGTTGTGAAATAGTTCCTACTTTCCCTTATATAGACAATTTCCTTTATGGGTGAAAGGCAGTCCGATACGACTCTGGAGCTGCTTTAGAGGAAAGTGTAGCTATAAAAAGGCAGATAAAACCCAAATCCATATCAATGC